AAGGCATTGTAAAGTGGTATTAACACTTCACGTGATCTTGATTCTGTCCCTCTGTTAATGCAGCCTAGCACTGTGTTGGCCTTTTTGGCAGCTGCAGCACACTGCTGGCTCATATTTAGGTGATTGTCCACTAGGACTCCGAGGTCCCTCTCACAGTTACTACTATTGAGCAAGGTGCCACCTATGCTGTACTTGTGCATTTGGTTTTTCTTGCCTAAATGTAGAACCTTGTCTTATATATTATTAAAAGCAAGTGTTAGAAAGGTATCAAACATGAAACTATCAGGCAATAATGTTAGAATAAATTAACAGAACCTACCAAAAATTGCTTTTGTCATAGCAATTAAAATTAAAAATACTGGAGGAAAAAAATCTAATGTTTTAGGGGTGAAAAAGGATATTGATAATAGTAACAGCCACAGAATTTTCACAATGTTTACATTTAATTAAGAATCAAATATAACTAATGTCAAATAATACTGTATTGATTTTAAATGCTTTTAAACCTTGCAGACTTATTTCATTTTATTTGGATGAAAAAACTTTGGAAGGACTTAAGCAGATTCATGTAGAGGTTCGTATATATTATATCTACTGAAAAGTTATTTTTGCAGTTGTATCTTTTAAATAGAAAAAATAACCTTTCTGTTTATTTAAATAATAAAAGCAATGTCTAAAGCATTGGAAGCCAGGACTTAATTGGAAGCCAGGCTACATTTATTATACTATCATTATTGAAATGATAATTTATCTGTTTTCTTTTGCCATGGCCTAAAGAAAGAGAAAAGATTCTTAGGTGGAAGGAAAGAGTTATTATTAAATTCATCCAGGAATACAATTTTTTATCCTCTTTTCCAAATCAACACATGAACCACAGTTTGAAAAACACTGGAAAAAATGAAAATTCTTAATGTTAAATCTATTCTTTTACAGCTTCATCGTCGTCAGTTGTATAGGTAAGATAATTAGTGTCAAATAGACTGTTGCATTTTTGAGAATGAACTCACAAGGAATAAATAAACATGCTTCTGAAATGTGTAATCCCTTTTGTGTAAGAATGCATAGTTGTGTTTAAATGTAAAAAAAATGATTCCTACTTTGATGTTGACTCTACATGAACACAATAGAGAAGATTTCTTTGTCTGGAATCAAGCAGGTTCCTCTTAGAAGTCCATCCGTGTTGCATATCTATCCTGTGAAATGTGTGGAAAAGTGTTATAAGGATATGCATAGACTTTATAGTATGAGCTGTTTAAAAAGTAGACAGCTATCCGGTCAAGACATTTTGTCACCCCAGACAAGAAAAAAAAATAACATGTAATCAACACTATCAGCATTCACTGAAACACATAACATTGATTCATGAAATTACCAAGATGTTTTAGAGTTGGGAAATTAAACTTATGATCTCAGTCTGCAACATGTTAGCACAGTTTGCTTCCAGTACTTGCTTCAGCAAGAGAACATTCTTCCTTTTAACTAGTATTACACAGCACAGAAGATAGATTGTATGAATATACAATGTACACACTGAATTCTGCTTGCTGCCCAAATACATAAGACTAAACAGTTCTTTTTTTTTCTCTTCTCCATCTGATCTACTAGCTTGCTGCTTCTTATATCTTATTTGCTTGCTACTAAGAATGGAAGTGTGCTTTTCTGGGCAGCAACACATTACTTGGTGTGCAAAATACAGAACATGTCTCCTTTAAATGTAGTTGCCTCCAAATACATGTTGAATGTATCCAGGAAAAAGGAAAAAGAAATGTCTGGTAGAATTACAAAAGTAGCAGGTAGAATGTTACCATTTGTCAACATTATTGGGCTGGCCTTGGATGAGACTTACTAACTTGCCCAGTTTGAGATCCTGAACTGTCCGGTTCCAAAGACTGCCACATTTGTTGCTATTATTCTCCAACAGGAAAAGAAAGAATATATTATATATATGTTTAAAAATGTCCTTGTAGGTTTTGCCATCCTGTATAATATTACATGCTTGGAGAAGTGTAAATGTTTCTCCTTTTTCTGAGAGCAATAACTATTTTAAATATGAATTATATGTAACATGAGACTTATTAGTTGTTCCGTATTTTTGGAGTTCATTTAAATTTGTATTATAGTTTTGCAGGATTACATTTATTGGTTCATAAGGTGACTGATATTGAATCCTTTAACAATAATAATGTGCTCTTCAAAATAATGTGATTCCAGAATTATTGACTTTCAAGTATTTTACACATTTCCAAGATATAAATATACATTTATACTTTTGAATAATATATAAAAGATTAGTCTTTTCATCATTTTATAACAAGCAGCTCCTTTGCATTTAATAGAACAGCACTACTAAACAAGTTAAACCAGTTTTATGGAATATAATAAAGGTACAATGCCATGAAGATTCCCATCTGAGAAACATTTTCTTGGAATTTTAACAAAATAACACTATAACCATTTGTCAGAAGATATCAGCAGTCAAATTTTTGTGGCTGCACTTACTGATTTCTGGAATGAGAATTTCTATTTCAGAAATAAGGAATGCTTTCCCAGAGGAGCAAATAATTACATTAGCCTGTGCTTGATTTCTGTTTGCTATGTTAATAAGTGACTCTGGCAAAAGCTGTATATCATAAAGAAAAAGCATTATCCTTGGAAAGTGTGGAGTACAAAACCATTACATGATTTGTGAGATAAACTGAAGTAATATTTAATAAAATCCAGTAATAGTGAACTTGGCTGACTAGTTGAGTTAATGTAAATGTATGTATTGGGTTTAATAAAATCCTGCTGCCAATGCAGAATGGTGTATTTCAGGCTATATTCAGTTTCCGCAAAGTAAAATAGTCAGGAGTCTTCTGTATTTTAAATTGGGAACCCCACAAAGTTGCAATCCCATATAGTTCTAATATGCTGCGAAGTGTAATAGCTTTGAAATACTGTACCTGTGGTAGGAAAAGAAGTGAAGAAGACTATCAAAACAACTACTTTGCAATACTGTACTACTTCTCTTTTTAAAATCAGATGCACGATATATAGACACAGCACATAGATGTCTATTGAATCTGACATGCTGCACCTATGCATAGTTTCCTATTTACTTACAATATTTATCCCACTTTGCTGAAGAACAAAGTTGGATATTTGTTTTTTTTCCTTATGAGAGAACAGAGTAGTTTTGCAAATTGTATTTCAGATCTGCTAGTAGCCTCCAAACATCTTAAACTTGGTCACACCATTTTCACAGTCCAGAATGGGCTACCAAATTGAATGAAGGTAGTTAGTGTACGCCCAGATATAATGTCATGAGACATACAGATTTTAAAGAGTAACTTTCTTTTTTCCATGAGTGCAATACTAGTCTGTTTACTTTTCATCTATTACAAATGTTACAATCTCCACTTAATCTTTCTGTGTTCTGTTTTCCGTTAATATTTGCTGTTTTGTTGAATTTGAAATGCAAGAGAAGCCCTCTGAATTAGATTAAAGATCTATCTATGCTAGTATTATGTTTCTTATATTGGCCAACCAGGTATTTATGCAAATCCTGCACACGTATATGTAAAGCCAGCTAGCAACAGCCTTTTTCCATTGTTGCTCTCTTGTAACTGGTATTGAGAATCATGCTATCTCTGATTCTGGAGATACCATTTATTCACCATGACTAATAGTTATTGATACCTTATTCTCTATAAATTTGTTTAATCTCTTTTAAAGCAGTTTAAAAATCTACATCTTGAGGCAGTGAATTCCAGAATTTCAAAATGCATAAATGTTATTTCAGCAAGTGTACTTTGCTTGATTTAGATTGGTTACTAGTGGAATTCCTGGTAGCAATTCCATCACATAATTTTGAATTTAAGAAGAGGAAAAAAATACAATTATAATGATGCTAGCTTTTTGTTAGTCTCATACATGCTTTTAGTAGCTTTACGTTGGCTTTATATACTACCACTAGTATGGGAAAGGACCTTAAGCAGTGGTATTTCAGAACCAGTGATAAAAAAAATGTAAGATATACAAAAAGAAAAACTCAGGTTAAAATCAGTCATTCTTGAAGTTCTTACTAGCTGTTATTGAACCACTATGTTTATACAGCTTACACTATGTCACAGACAGAGACTAGAACAAACATAAACATTTCCTTATGGATGGAATGCATGGAAGGAAAGAAGGAAGAAAGGAAGGAGAGAAGGAGACAAATGGATTAGTAAATGATAATTATTTTTTTCAAGAAAAACTTTTAAGTGTCCAGGGGGCTCAGTTACACTTGTAGTGTGAAAGCTTGTGGAAGGTCTCCCCACTTCCTGTTCCAGAAGCCCTCTATGTGTTCACACTAGCGTTCCATCTTCTGCTTGGTAATTCCTGCTGCCACCAAGTAACTCCCAGAGGGCACCTCACTCTATTGTATCTTTCCTCCTAATCATAGGGTTGGGAGTGTAGGTCTGTCACGCCTTATGCTTATCTTATTGTCAATTCAGATAATCAAAATATTAAAAAAAGGAAAGGAAAAGAAAATAACTTAATTACTGTATCCTCCTATCTGTGTGACATAAAGACACCTGACTAGAGGTTTGAGCCTGCAGGATGCTGTTACAGTAGCATATCTCAATAGTTCAAGTAATCTAATAGAGTTTGATTCTTGATCTGGTGAACCTCAAGGGGGTGGAAGCTGGTCTGCTAAAAATAATGAGGTTTCTGGCAGAAAACGTTGCACTGGAAAGATTATCAAATTATTATCACTGGAAGCTTTTACAGAAATATGTTTGTATAGCTTCATAAATAAGCTTGACATGGGAGTGAAAACTGCACATAATTCTTATATTTATAAAGAAAAAATGGGCACATTTAAATGTTAGCAAAACACAGAATTCTAAAGTACGTAGCACAAATTCCTGGCTAGAACCTTTTTATCAATTACTACAGAAATAGAAATCTTGAAATGATGTACTTTTGGCTTCAAATACTTGGATCTCCTCCAATTTCTTCTCCAGTAATTTGTCAAGGCTGTTAAGAAAGATAGTAATGCCCACTTTCTGCCAGCAAATCCAGCGATTTGTTGTTGTTGTTGTTTTACTTTATTTTTCTTTTATTATATTTATATGCTGCCCACCTCACTCTACAAAGTGACTCTGGGCAGTTTTAAAATTTTCTATCTTCACCTGAACACATTAATGTGGTGTTTTAGTTTATCATGTTTTATTTCTCTAGCCCTTTGACAAACACACACACACACACACACACGTACATTAGTAAAAAGAAAAGGAGAATGCAAATGCAATAAGGCCCTTTTGGCATATGGCATGGTTTGTAGTTGTTGAAATACAGTACTGTACTTAAAAATTTGGGTAGTTCACATATGAACAAAAAAAATTCAAATTGAAAATTGAATTTGTTAAGGAAGTAAAAGATACTTTCGAAAATAATACAATAGCAGTCTCATGGGATCAACTTAATATCGCAGTTTTCATCTAATGCTTTCCATAGAATAGTCCAAAAGAGTTGCCAGAAAACTGACTTTAAAAGGACTTTTTATAAACATGTAATGACATGAGGGTAAAATTGGATTTGACTGTTGGATAATTCTAAAGCTGCATTTGCACATTACATAACTTTTTGTGAATACAAATTCTAGCTTAATAAATTATGGTTTGCAGAACTATTCCCATTCCATGCAGCTTGGTTAGCTTCTCCTCTTTCTGCAATTCACATACTGTATAAACTTAGTTCGGGATACATCTGAATTAAGATTTGGGTTTGAAAACTAACTCCTAAATCTGACATATTTGAGAACTTTTAACCACAGATTGCAGTTAATAGGAAGCAACAAGTGAAGATTCAAATTCTGACTTGTTTTACTACTCATGCAAAAAAAGGAATAAAGTTACTGGAGAAGTGTTTGAGGTACTTGCCATGTATTCATATTTTTCATATTAAGCTTTAATGTATTGAATCTTGGCAAAAGAGGCAGGTTTAGATTCATATATCAATTTTCTTTTCCTTTTTCTGTCATGTCAGTGCAAAATACTGCAGTGATGTTGTTTCTTAAATTGGTATTTTTTTTTCTTTCTTTTCCAGAGGTTTAGGTGGAGAACTAATGAGGCCAGCTGGTATGTTACTTGACATAGAGTGTTCTATTTACAAATATAATTTGGAAATAAATATTACATTTTAAGATTACATAATGTAAACTTGGCTAGTCCTGATTCACTGAACATTTTGCCAACTTTTCTTTAATTTCCCTTAAAGTATACTTCAGCCATTCTCCCTAATGTAAAATTCAATATTTTTATTGACTCATGATTCAGAAAATGTAGAATAAAACATAATCAAATCCCAGACTGGTAGTTTTTTAATACCATTTTAGTTATCATTAATTGGTTTTTTTCCCTGTAAAATATAGGATGGAGCTAAAGGAAGAGCTTAGTTGCTAGATTGTTGATTAATGGGATTTATTCTTGGGCAAACATTCTGCTCCTATTTAGTAGATCAAGAGTCATCTTGTACCATCTTTAGCACATAGAATAGTATTTTAAAACACCACTAAAGTCCTTTTTACCATCCATAAAAATGAGATTTAATCTTAATTGGATAACACTTGGATAATTCTCTTTTTTCATATTCCAGTTTTTAATCCATAGCAGAAAATAATGTAGTTACAATAACCGACTTTATTGCCAGTTTAATGTCAAAATCAATTACTTCCTACGGAAAAGTGTTTTAAGGAGCTAGTTCGTGTGTATATGTTAAAAAGGAACTCTATGCATGCAGGAACTCTTCCCTGCCTTCAAGTAAAGAAATACTTAGGTATTAGGAAATATGAGTTTTTGCTGGGATTTCTACATGCCACATCTATATATTAACATGTAATGAGTAATTCTTTTTATGAGTAGTAAATAGTGCTCTTCCCCAACTGATGCCTCGCAGATGTGCTAGCCTACAATTCTGTAGTCAAATTAGCCATTGTGCTGCCTTTGGGGTGATCTACTCAGCTTATTTGTGGCATCAGATTAATTATTTACTTCCTCAAAAGTCTACCCTTGTGATAGAATATTTTTATAATGTTCTTTGTGCTGCTAAGGATAACTAGAGCAATTTATATACCACTTAATCACTGGATTCTAAGACATTTTACACTTATAAAAACAAAAAATGTAATTTACATAATAAAATATGTTTTTTTCACTAGTATTGATTATTGAGAACTCCCCACTCCAAACATTCTATGGAAAAGAAATGGTAAATGAGAAAAGGAGAGAGGGTGTCTTGATCTCAAAAACCAAACAATTCTACAATGTAGATATGCTACTTTTTTATGGATTCATAAGATGCCTGGATGTTTTTGGATTCATAAGATGCCTGGAAGACCATCTTGATAGATCTGTCCTAGTGCTCAGTAGGGGCCTTGGACTTCAAGTTTGATCCGATCCATCCTCAAATCACAATCTAACCAGATTTAATGTGTGCAGCCCATGTCACTTGGAACCATGGTGACTGCGACAAGCCCATGGTTCTATAAGATCTGTGAATTCTCAGACATCCCCATAATGTGAAATTTGAAGGAATCCATCACCAACCCAAGCTCAAATTTGATCGCCTGCAAAACAACAGGTGGGGCCATCATCAAATTATCACAGAACAAATATGGGCACCATCAAATTCTCATGGAATATCATTGCACCTTCCTCTTCCATCTTAGTTTTGAAGGTCAAGAAACCCCTCTCTCCCAGTTACATACCAGGTCCACTTTCTTCTCCAAAACAAAATTTAAAAAGGACATTTTATTACAAACAGGCCTGGTGTTCAACATTTATCTCACTAGAAGCCCCTGAGATAAAGTCCTCTAGTGATCCAGCACTCAGAACCTGGTGTTGAAGGTGGTGGATCAGAATTTCAATGAGGAATAAAATTCCCTACTGCCCATCCTCCGAAACAGTAATTATTTCCTGTCATATCTCCCTCTGCTGACAGATTTGCCATACTATTTGCCATACTATTTACTACATAATAATAACAGTGTGAGTTCATGAACCATGATCCTGTGTAAAAAGGCTTATAAATACCCTTTAATTCAGTGAATACAACTCTGATTGCTTTTTTCCCTCCTTGTTTTCTAGTCTGCACTTTGATTGAAAAGTTGTCACTTTCAAAAATGCCTTTTAGAAAAGATCTCATAATTGGTAGGTGATGTTTCTCATGTTGTAGAGTTACTATGTCTGTCTGTTGATGATTATAACTTTAGCAAATAGACAGTATTATTCATTTAGCAAGAATATAATTATATAAATTCCTTTATTTTCTACTGTCACAAGATGTAACAGAGTGGTTCAATATGCTTCTTATCTTCCCCCCCCCATCTTGATGCTGTCCATATTTGCTATATTCAGCTTCGTTCATCACAGTAATGTCAGAATGTCAATATGTAGAAGTCGAGGGCCATTAATGCCTGTTAGAGATGTTATAGAATGAAGGCAATTCCAGGAAAATATGGAACAGCAGTTGCTTTTTTATATCCCATATGCCTGCTATTCTGGTTGGTTTTTATGTGGATATTTTATTTGTGGGATATATTTTAAAAATATAGTGGCAAAAAGAAATTGAAACAAATTTCAGTTGGAATTCGAACCTCTAAGGATGTGTAAAAAAAAATGTAGATATGCTAAAATGCAATGCAACCAATATACTATCAAGTATGTTTTCTTTATTTTCAGATGATTGGCAGTGGCTGATCAATGATAGTTTACAAAGCCTTCACCTTATTTCAAGCAATTCAAGACAGCAAGTAAAAGTACAGTAATTTATCTGTATTGATCTTAAAAGGTCTAAATATCATGTTTTGCTTGTTGCTGTTACAGTTTAAATTTCTAGATTTTTGAAAACAAAGCAGAGAATAGATAGAACCCTAGTGCGCGTGCACACACACACACACACACACACACACACGTGGTTATGCTATCATATTTCTGATGCTCAACAGCTGGCCCACATTTACTTTACAACCATCACAATTTATGACTAATGGGCATATCAACTTGAAATAAATCAGGTAAATGGTTGATATTATACCAAATACTTTATTATAGTCACTGATCCAAATGCTGTTCATTTGCATAACAAAAGTACTGATTAAATAACAAAAATGATGTTTTATTTAGGCTATAACTGGTGCATACTGAAATGTAATTCAATTTAGTATTATCTCTTCAGAGCCATTAGAATAATACTAAACTAATTGCAATATCTTCCCATCCTTTTACTAAATGGAGGTTATAGTTCAGAATAATTTGTAATGTAGCATTGTTTGACCAGCCTGACTTGCTTCTGGCTCCTAAAGTGGAACAATTGAACATAGTAGGATATTACTCAACTCAATCTCAAATGAATGGGTTATCTGACATAGTCATAATAATTGCATGAATAGACATTAAATGTGTTACCAGATGATCTATCAGGTGTCTCTACAGTAGAATTCTTTCAGAGTGCATTTGAAAGAGAAGTTATTCTATATCTTCGTGGTTTTGCTTTTGTTTTAGGAATCAGCAGTGTCTGCATTAGCTGCTTTATGTAATGAATATTACTGCAATGAAGAGGGAGGAGCAAATCCAGCTGAGCAAAGTAATGATTCACCAGATTCATTTCTATTTTTATTAAAAGATAACTTATGGTATCGTGCTAACTAAAAAAAAAAAAAAAAGAATGCAGCACAAGCTAAATTAGCCTGAACTAAATTTCATATAGAACAAATTTTGGATAGCTGATTGCCCATGTTTTCTCTAGCATATTATTTGATTTAATTTTTAATTAACTTGTTTGTGTTTTCATTAAATTAGAACTTTTCCTTGTTTCATGGGCTAATGCTTTGTGAATACTCTGCTGCTACACTAAAACACTTCCCCCCCCCCTTTATTTGTCTACTTGTATGGTATCTCAATCATAGTATAATTTTAGGTGTCTTACACAAGGGGGTTAAAACATCAAAGCAATAACTGCTAAAAACAAGCAGAAACAGAAACACCAAAAATATATGGTGCACACCGGGGATGAAAATAGTACAAACATATACCACATTAAAGCTATTATTGGGGGCAGACTTTCTGTTTCTCCATAGCTTGGTAAAAGAGTCAGCTTTTTAATGGCTCTCTGAAGCCCAGCAGGATGAAAATCTAATATTATAAATTATGTCACTGAAGGAAAATGGACCTGTGCCATTTTGTGGAGCTGACTCTCATGCTTTGCTGTCAAAACATTGTCATAATAAAACTTTTGAAGGTTTTTGCATGTTAGTAATACGTTATATACTGAATATTACATAAACAATTTTCAATTGTTTGTTTAACAGCCACCATCCCTCAGGAATAATCAGTGGTTATTCTAATGCTGCAAAGCATTGTTTCTGGAGTTTTAATTACTCAGACAGTGAGTGTTATGTTTTCCAGATTTGCTGGTGCAATACATTTCAGGCCTTCAAAGCCATGAGCAAATGATTCGCTGTGGTTTTTCACTAGCCTTGGGTGCCCTTCCGAAATTCCTTCTAAAAGGCAAACTCCAGGAGGTAAGCTAAGATGCAGGGCAGAATGTTTTATAACAGGTTTCAGATATTTTAAAAACACATATCTTAATGATACGCGATTGCTTTGTTAAACATAAAATAGATTATATTGCTTCAATGTTTGATTTCTATAACCAAATTTCTGCTGATTTGGTCTCCATTGTCAATTAAGACCAACAGTGAAATCTCAACATTACCTTATGTTTACATTTGGATCTCTGGAAGTCACTTATTTATTGGATTTATACGACTGCCTAATTTGGGAAACTTACAGTTTGAAACTGTAAAAGCACACAAAAGCAACAAATATGAAATAAAATATATTGTATCTTCTTAACATAAAGTACAACAGGATAAATAAATAACATAAATAATAATAATAACAGAAGCAATCAAGGCTAACGAACACATACTTCATTCAAGGGTCTCCCATTCTATTCAGGCTCATTCTGTGGGCGCTAGGGGAAAAACAGGTTTTTAGAAGAAGAGAAGGGTCAAGACTGCCCAAGATTGGAACCAATCATGTTCCATGGGCAAGAGCTGCAACAGAAATCATAAGTCCTGAGTCCTACTGGAAGGCATCGTTTTGTGGAAGAGATCAAAAGCGTGAATAATCTACTGGATCTCATAGGTTGAGCAGAGACACTTGGAGATAGATGGTCTTGCAGGTAAACAGTCTTGTGCCATGAAGGGCTTTAGAGAGGATAAACAGAACTATGAATTGTCCCAGATGATTATAGGGAGCCAGGGCTATTTGTGAAGCAATATGTGACATGGGCAATTATGAAATCTCATCCATAGTTATTCGTGCCACTGCATTTTGGCTTAGTTGCAGCTTCTAAGTGGTTTCCAAGGACAATCCCATGTAATGCATACTGTGGTAGTTGTGTTTGTGTGTGTGTGTGTGTGTGTTTGTGTGTGTGTGTGAGAGAGAGAGAGAGAGAGAGAGAGGACATCAGAGACCATGAATGGGGCCTTCTGTTCCAGAAATGGGCTCAGTTGGCAGATAAGATGATTTATGCAAAGGCTTCCCTGCTCTTCCAGCAAGAGCTGAGAACCCAAGTTCAAGATTGGCATGGGTGCATGCATCTCCATCCTGGTCCTGCCAAAGTCATCTGTAAATGTAATCAACACTATCTGAGTGCTGTATCTCAGTCTAATCCAGCTGGAAGGAGTCCAGATAATACGTTATCATCCAGACTCTTTTGTAATTGCATAACCACTCTTATTAATCTTACCCCAAAAAGGAATGTTGGATACCAGATAAAAATAATTGACTCTTTTGTATCTAAGAAAGATTTTTTTAAGACAATTGGATCTCCCTCAAGTGCTTAGAGAAGTATTTGATAAGATTTACCTGTTTATTTTCAGAGGCACTCCAGATATCTCTTTTTTCTGGTGATCTCTTTGGGGTTTACTGAAAAAGAGGCTGCCAAAGTGCAATTTGATCCAAGAACATGCCCCCTGCCACCATCCTGATGTCCTGTTCTATTCAGTAAAGAGGGACTCAGGTGGACCATGTATCAGAGCCTGAGAAATATCCCCAAATTCTTATTGAAACCCAACAGGTCCATTAGGAATCTGGAGCAGACAAATCAAATAAATTCTTCCTGCAGTGAAGGGTCATTGCAGAGAACTAGGGTGACTAGAAAGTGATCTAGCCATGCAAAGGATTAATGGTTTTATCTTTTATTCCCCAAGATATAAAAGTCTCTCTAACACCTCCCAAAACAAAGGGCCTGAGTTCACATAGTAATCTTTCCAGTTAATTGATCAGGACTTTGGGATGTTCTCCTTTAGCACTCAGCATTCCTGGATGCTAACTGTTAATTCACTTTATGCAAACAAACAAATACACTATTATCTACCCTATATCACCCTATCAGGCACCAAACTCTCTACGCCCAACTACCTACTCCACTCTCCATCTCTCAGCTCCACTACCATCTTCACTTTGTTGTTCTCACTGTGGGTGCCAAATGCCCAGACTGTGACTATAAGTCAAAGTGATTTGGAAAAACTGGAGAGTCAGTGTCAGCTTCCTGCCTTTCATCGGCAAGGGAGCCACACAGTTATGTCCTTGAAACACCAGCTCTCCGGCAAACACAGCCAAAATCCATAATTTACATTACTTAAAAAGTCTTAGGTAGAGTCCTTTCTTATTCAGTATAAAACTGGCTAAAGCAATGGGAAGGTACAAATGATGCATATGCTGATCCTTCCATGTTCAGGAGTAGTGAGCGTGAGGCAAGATGGCAGTACTCTGGGAGATAGGCCAGATGACAGCTGCTGGATGTAGATTGGATATCCCATAGGATCGTCGGCCTGCTTCTGGTGGATTGATTCAAGGAGAGTCTAGATAGTGATATAGATCCCGATTTGAAGCATAACAGATTTCATAGAAGTTGGGAATGTACGGCTTGTAAACAGTAAACAGTAATGACAGTGGTGATGATCACTGTAAGTATTTGGTGGTTTCAAGACAAAATGTGATGGATGTTGAGAATATCAATGTGAAGTTTCAGACAGATTAGCTATGTGATTTTTGCACATAAAAAAACCTGTTTGTAAGGAATTATGACATTTCTTAAATAAAGTGCAGCTGCTTGTCAGTGGTTGAGGTGGAAGTAATAAAAGGTTAACTTTTAAAAACTAGATTACATGGCCAAACAAACTGTCAAAACAGATCACAAAATATTATTGTACGGTTGACTCAGAAGGATGGGATAGGCATCAGCAAGGTGGAACAAAACATAAACAAGACTCACTCCCAAGATCCTTTGAGAGAGGCAGCCAATGGGGCCTGATCACTAGGGTCACTTTGATTCAGGGGCAGGCTGGCTGGATACTGAACCCAGTAATCCTCCCTTGTTCTTTCCATGAATGACTTGTGTGGTAGGGTATATGCACAAGTGTTGCTAATCCATCTTTTGCAATGTGCTGGAACGTCACGGAAGCCAAACTTCATGGAGAGACAGAACTGAAATGGCACAGGTTTAGGCTTGTCCTGTCACCCTAGTAAATGAAAATCAGCCTTGATATCTGACTGAATGTAAAGTACATCTCTAATAAACCACACGAAAAGCCTGCTTTGTAATGTGTAAAAACTACTACATGTTTTCATTACCATCTACCACTTTTCCTCTGTGACCCACTTTATTGTAACTGCTTCATCTCCATTATTTTGCATAATACTTTTTGAGAAACGTAGTCAAGTGCTGGTTTAGTGTTTGGATTTTCCTTTATTCTTCCAGGTTTTAGATGCTTTGAAAAAAGTCACTTCGATTTCTGGAGGTGTGAGTTTTGCTGAATCCAGAAGAGATGGCCTAAAAGCTGTTGCAAAGTATGTAATCCTTTCTGTTTCATGTACCTAGTAGTGAGTATAGTTATTTACATAAATATATAAATATATATCTTGCCATGCTTTTCTTGTCAGACAAAACTTAATAAAAGTGGTAAGAACATCAGTCAATTTTACTATGGCCAAAAGGCTTAAAAGCAGGTTACAAATATAAACTAAACTTGGCATTGGATAAAACAATTTATCCAATAAAATATTTAATAAATAACACATAATAGGCTTAAAACCTCAGTATTGATTTATTACTAAAAAACTTGTTTTTATAGCCGTAGTTAAAAATCTGGCTGTTAACATTGTAATCTTCGGATTTTCATCTGCAAGTAATTTTTTTACACATCTCTTCTTCTTGATTTAGATCAGGCATGTCAAACTCGCAATGTCACGTGATGTCATGCGATGTATCATGACTTTTTCCCCATTGCCGGCAATGGGGTGGGCGCAGTTTCGGTGTGATGCATCTGGCCCGTGGACCGGCAGTTTGACATGCCTGGTTTAGATGTTAAAATAGGCCAGAAAATTTCCTGCAAAAGATTTATAAAATTCACAATACAATAAAATAAGTTCCATCATTTCAAGATCAGTACCACTACAAGGAAAAAATCTTGTAAGAGAGGCGGAAATTTTTGAAATCTATCATAAAGCATATTTGATGGCAACTCATTTAATATGGCTTTTGAAAAGCTATTCTCCAATTGTTTAAATAAAAGCTATTCAAATATTTAGAGAGATGAAAAATATTAATTAATTCCCAGTGTTGCAGGTGAATACAATACTTTGGCTTTGGCCAATATGGAATTATCCCATATTTTTTGTTTAATACAATGGCTTGCTGATGACATACCCCTGGATATTAGGTAATAAGAACATAATAACTCTAGAAATAATAGAAGTAACTGGAACATTTTGTCGCTCTGGACTTTAAATAAAATCCAGAAAGAGCTTGGAGTGAATTTCTGGAGTCGGTAGAGCGAGGCCAATGTCTCTTCCGCCTTTCATCATGTCCTAGTGTAGCATATCTTTTTGCTCCCCTTCCTTTTCCACCAGCTCCCCTTCCTTCCTGAACCTTCCCTTTTCCCTCTCTTTAGGCACAGACATTGCCACTGCTGTTTTCTCAGATCCCACAGGTCCATCTGCTCTTCCCCCCCCCCGCCAGTATTTCCACAGCCATTTATTCCGCTGCTGCTATAGTCACAGTACATGATCTTCTCCATGGATCTTCTTTTCTTCTCTCCCACCCTCAGCTGCTATCAATGGACATGCCAGCTCCACTAATGCTGTGATTTGACTAAAGTGAGGAACAGGCTTCCAATTCTGCATACCTCTCTAGACTAGACTAGACTAGACTAGACTAGACTAGAATAGAATAGAATAGAATAGAATAGAATAGAATAGAATAGAATAGAATAGAATATCTTTATTGCCATTGTTTAACTCACAACGAAATTAAGTGCTGTCCACAGTGCACACTACACACAAGTAAAAACCACAAATAAGAACATACATTATATACACACATCCTTCACATTCTATTCACCATTGCGCTAGCCCCTCCCACTAGCCCTTTCCACTGCCCCTTTCTTTCTTTTTGTTGTCTACAGCTACTGCCGGTATCATTGACTTCTTCCACCTAAGGCAGTCCCATTCCATTCTCTGTACAAACCCAAACATCCTAAACACTCCTGATTTACTTAGGCCACTTACCATCTGGTACCATCTGTTCCATGAATGGAACAGTTTGTGCATGGAACATTTTGCATAGCCCTCTTGTTAATATTTTGGGGGGAATTTTGTTACGGTAAGTGTCTTTATAAGGTTATAATTTGGAAGAGAAACAATGGTGTTTTTAATAGAAAATGAATCCTTAAGTCTCTTTTAAATTCTATAAAAATAGTAATTAGGCTTTAAGGAGCAGTATGCGAACAAGTCTCTACTATTTTGTTATAAATAAACAGGCTAAATAAATTGTATTTAAATAATAACCTCCCTATCATAAATATAGTCCTTTTACTAGTGTAAATTGTAGAAAACTAAGAAAGATCAATTCAGTAATAAAAATATAATTTTCAGTGTAATTTCAGCTCATTATCCAGATATTTCTTTTGCATTTACTTATGAAAATATGAGCACTTAAATGTTCATGTTGGTAATTCATTTCAAGTCATTCTTATGCTTATCATCTAAGTTGCCAGGTAGCTGTCCTGCATAGTTTCTACCATAAATATGTAGGCTTTGACCGGTTTCCCCAATTTAACTAAGTAATTACATAGTGTTTAAGGCCTTATAATATCTGAAAACAAGACTGAATGTAACTAAAGTATGTTCTTGAATTCTGAATCAGGAGGAAAATAATTTATATAGACAAGGGGTTCCATCACATCTTCCTTCCATGAAATTTGAAGGTACACACCTCCCCTAAAAATCCAAACACCAAAATGAACACAAATGATCAATGAAAACAAATAATGAACCTTTGGGAAAGGTGAATTTATTGTAACAATGTACAGCTATGTACAACTTTTTAACATTTTGTAAGCCACCCCAGTTGCTCAATAATGAGATGGGCGGCATATAAATTTAATAAATAAATTAAAAGACTCTTCACACCTCCCCTGGACTCTGTACTTCCCCAAGAGAGGTACACCTCATGGTTTGGGAAGCACTGGTATAAACTATGTAGAATGAATTCTGTGTGGGGAAAAACCCTGTAAAAAGCAGGCCCTGTAACATGATACATAGAAAATGACAATTGAAATCGTGCATCTCAAACAAGCGATAATCTTTGCCAGTGGGATTTTCTCCAGAACTCCCTGCTATGCTTCCAGTGACAACTTATTAGCAGAAGAAATTGCTTACTGCTTTGTTAAATATCCAGTGTAAATGGCAAGAGTACTTGTATGTGCTGTAACTTTCAACCCGTTAGAGATCGTAAGACCTAAGGGACTAGTAAAACATCACTTTTTTATGTAAAACAGCTGAACAACTTGTCACTCAGGAGCAAGCTGAACTGTTGATAGAATAATTACCTCTAAATTTCCCACTGTACTCTGGTCTTTTTCTATGTCATTAGGTATGAAAAAAAAACTTGGCTAGGAAAATATGACAATCATGTTCCCCCAGCCTTCCCCTCCCCAATCTGTAGTTAATTCTACATAATAAGGATGTAATACCAAAACTAATTGTCTGTGTGTATGTAGACTAAAGTTTTATAATATCAAGTACAGGTAGTCCTTGCCTTAATAACCACAACTGGGTCCAGAATTTCAGTTGTTAAGTGATGTGGTTGTTAAGTGACGTGTCATGTGACTCGACCAGATTTTACCATTTTTATCACATAATTAAGTTAATCACCATGGTTGTTAAGTGAATCACGTGTTCATTAAGTCAATCATATAGTTAAGTGAATCCAGCTTCTCCCATTGACTTTGCTGGTTGAAAGCCCCTTGCAATCACAATCGCATGACTGTAGAATACTGCAACTATCTTCATTGTAGTCGTAAATGGGAGTTGGTTGCCAAGTGCCAAATAGCACGCATGTGACTGGAGGGATAGTGTGATTGTTGTAACTCTGGACCATCATTAAATGAATGGACATAAGTCAAGGATTACTTGTAAGACGCATTACTTACATTTTGATTAATAGGTGGTATTGTGCTATTTAATTATTTATTGGGTTAAGCAGAAATTTGTTAATACACGAGTGTTTTTTTAAAAAAAATATTATATGATCCTAATAATTATCTTCCTTCTACCTTTAGAGTTTGCTTGACAGTAGGGGTGAATGGAGAAGGATCACCAAATGAATTTGTGTGTAAACGTAACGTTACAGAGATATATAACATATTGTTGGATGGTCTGAATGATTACACAACAGATAGCAGAGGCGATGTTGGAGCATGGTAAGATGTGTGGTCTTGATAAAGTCCCAGCTTTATTCTGTAATGCAAAGCAAAAACGATAGACTCAGAGAAAATGTGAAAATGTGGCATCTTACTAAGGCTTTTAACTTACTTTTGAGGCTTTCTTCCATGAGAAACCTTCCAAACGTTTATTTTTAATTGTCAGTTTAATTTAATTCCAAAATTTCCTTAGTTTTATTTCACCCTGAAAGAACAGATTAGCTGTTCTGATATTCCATTATGGTGATTAAACAGCAGAGGGTGTAGTTGTATCAACAGTTGGGCTCCTTCTCTTCTTACATTGCTACCTCCTACAAGCTACATTTTGCACACATTATTTTAAAGAGCAACTGCTATTCATTATCTCTATTATCTACGAACCACAAAGTTTTATTTTGACATAAATAAAAACATGAATGTCTAACCATTTGTACTCATAGCTTAACAAAGAGTGAATTTGTTTTACATGAACATTTGAATTTTCCTATTATTAAATTGCATTGCATAATTTTGCCTAGTTGCACAAAACCAACCAAAATCAGCTGGTCAGGACTTTGATGGGAGGCTCCAGGGCTCTCATAGGCTAGCTTGGGAAATCAAAATTATAACCTGAAAGAAGTCAGTGGCAAACCATTTCTCTGGTGCCGTCTAGGAAACTATTTGGCCAACTCTTTGGATTTTCATGTGGCCATGAAATCACCAAAAGTTGAGCTCAACTTGAACAAGACAGTGTATCATTTTGATTGTTAAGTTATGGAGCGCCAAGATATTTAAATTAAGGAGTTTTAAAATTAAAGAAATAGGTTTTATGCACTGCAACTTTTCATTATAGCACACAAAAAATGTGAACAGTTGTTTCTTTTAAATTGCTACATGTATCCTTGAACCAATCTATTAAAAATATTTTATAGCATATTTCCTGCTTACATGCTAAAGAAACTTCTGCAAAAGAATTGAGCGTATAATTTGTAGCTTCAGAATGTAACCAAATTCAAAGATAGCATAGCATAAACATACAGTGAGTGACTGGAGACATGATGGTAGTTGGAAATCCATATTTAGATTTCACTTTTTGTTTATTTTTTAAAGACATGTTTAGTTTTGGGGGCCCAAATCATATTAGGGCAGTTGCAGCTTACTGCTGTGAATGTTTCCTTCTGCTACTATTTGATCAGAAAGAAAAAAACTTATAGAAAGTTGTAGGTAGAGGAGTAGTATTAAGTAAGAATGTGGAGTTAGTAAGAAAGAAATATTTTCTCTGCTGTCCCTTTCTAGAATATTTAACTTTTGGAGAAAGTATAATAGGAATTCCAGCCATGTATTCACAAATTTGTAACCATTTATATATCCTGAATTTATCCAGAATTAAGTGTTGATTCTAGAATAAACATAGATACAAATTTGTATCCATGCTTCTTCTAGAGTTTATACTAATTTCAGGATAGAAATATTAAATTTGAACATCTCAAAGTTAGCGTTTCTGTTTCTATGTTAAATAATATAGCTCTTACCTCTGACCAGATAGTCAAACTCCACTAAATCAAAGCTTCTTCAAACTGATGCTCAATGGGTTGGAAAGGGAACTGAATGCGTGGGTATTCTTGGGAAAATGCTTTCTGAGGTGTGTGTCTGCTCCAGTAAAAAAAAAAAAAAAGTCCAAAAGGAATAGGAATGTACACGAACCTTTGATTATTTTTTTTAAAGGATTCGTGGGAAAGCTAACAAACTGTATTTTCCATATGCAAACTTAACATTCCTTTTGACAGACTGTTTGCTGGGACTTGTCCAAATTCTGTCTACAGGTGTTAAATATAAAAAAACCTTAAGAGCAAGATGCTGTGTGAAAAAAAGAAAAAGGTTCTTTGATTAAAAGTGGTCTAATTGCTCTCTGTGTGGGTGTACGAATATGCACGTGTGTACATGCTTGTGCAGGGAAACAGACAGAAATCCAGTAGTCTAATTCTTATTTACATATTCATTATTTTGAATTTTCCGTAAAAAAGTAAAAAACGCATAACGTGTTACTGTGTTGTGATATAGATAGGTTTCTTGGGAATGAGTTATAAAACTGGCAATGTAACAGCAGATCAAATGGGGTGTTCATTAGATTATTTTGCAAAAAAAATGCATGCATTCACTATTCCAATGCACATTTTTCTGTTCTTCAAAACATCTTTTTGAGTGCATTCTTTACTATCTTTTCTGTCTTTTCATTCTCTAATTCAATAATCCATTTTGATTGTTCTCACTTGTATTAAAACAGAATTACTTTTAAATTCTACATTAGAATTACCTTTAAATAGTCAATTAATGAATGAATGCCGAGCAGTAAAGCCATCTAATGGCAGGCTCTAGCTTGATTATGTGAATACATAGAAGGCTAATCGGCATGAAGAAGCAACCAAATCTTCACCTAGTTGCGCATATTTTTGTCTCGGTCCTTGAAAAGGATTTCTTCTGATTTCTTACTTGATTTGGACAAGCAAGGAGACCTGGTTAGATTTGCTTTTTCTGTTGATGGCATATTTCGCTACAGAAAATTAGCATCAGAAGAAGGACTGGTGTTAATATAGCAATATATTCCTGCAGCTGTGACTTTTCCTAGTTAATTAGAATTTGGCTTCTGTTGTTCATATCTAAGCCATCTAGAGTCAGTGTGAGTGAGTAGGCAGCTGTATAAATTTTCCAAATAAATAAATACCTGGGAACATTTTGGATAGCCTGTAATAATTGCTGGAATATTTTAATACTTTAATGTTTGATAGGAAGGATATAGATATTCTATTGATTCAATTGTTTGCTTGCAGTGATATCTTATTTGGGCAATTGACCTGTTTCTCATAAATAGCATAAAGCCTAGAACAGTGATGGCAAACCTTTTAGAGACCGACTGCCCAAACTGCAACCCAAAACCCACTTATGTATCATCAAGTGCCGGGTGGGCGTGGCTGCAGTGGTAATGGTAGACTGGGTGGGACTAAAAAGTTCAATCAATCAATTCCAACTTTTTTTTCCCGCAAGAAGTTGAAATTGACTGATTGAACCTTCTTTTTTTTTTTGCACATGGCGGCGGAGGCCTAAAGTGAAAAGGTTTTATAAAACCCAGCTGAAGGCCTAAGACTGGGGCAACTTTTTTCTTGTTTTTTACATGTTGAAAGAAGCTTTTTTTGTTATTTTTGACTTTGGTCGCAAGCCTTTGTTCATTATGAGCCTTGACTTTCCTCACTTCATCTTTGCAGGCTCGGGCTATTTGCTGATATTCTGACTTAGTTATGTGCCCGTCTTTCCACTTTCTATACTTGTCCTTTTTATCTTTCAATTTGTCAGAGAGTTCTTTATGCAGCCATGCTGGTTTCTTTTGAGAGCTGTTATTTTTCCTCTTTGCTGGTATTGTGCTAGACTGGGCTTTTATTATCTCACTTTTCAAAATTTCCCAAGCTTCTTGAGTTGTTTTCCCCTGGAGGATTCTCATCCATGGAATCCTTCCCAAGCCCTCTCTAAGTTTATTGAAATTAGCTCTCTTGAAGTCCAAGACTCTAGTTTGAGTATGTTCTATCTATAATAATCTGTTCAAATAGATACATTTGACAAAAACAAAAAATGCTACCATTTCCAGTTTTAGAAGCCTAGAAAACAAAATGCCTTGAACTAAATATTTCAGAAATGGGAATCTACTGTTTAAAAAGACTGACCATTCTCTTCATACTTCATATAGCAGGAACACCTAGAGAAAAGTTCAGGTTATTTAGGGCTACGATATCTGATCCGTATTTGCAGGAAAAACATTGTGGCAAAGAAAGCACTCTTTGGTGCACAATTTCAGCCAAGAAGGAGCAGCTGAAAAAAGCTTCCTTTGTTTTCTTTGCCAGGAACAAATCCGCTGCAGTGAACATAAAGATATCATATGTGGATTGCAAACGTCTGGATGACTGCTGGATGGCAGCAGTGTGCTAGACCTTTCTTTACCATTTTTTCCATCGACTCATTGTCTGAATATTGCAGCCCACATATGGTAGTCCTAATTGATAGTCCACATCTAGAATGGCTGAAGGCAGTACATCCTGGTTGCATAAGTCAGTGATATGATTGTGATTCTTGTTTGTCCAATCAGTTGTTCAAAGGAACAAAGAAAATATCACAAACTGATATTTCAGTGAGCATTTCATGGGAAGATAGAATCATATCTGCATGTAATTGCATGTAAATGCCAGCATATTATTCTCCAGTTCCTTCTGACCTTAACGAACTGTTTTCTTTTTTTCTCCACTGTTTTCTATATAGATTGTGAGGGGATGGCAGGGCCTGTCTCTTTCTTTTAAATTGCTCTTTCCTACTTATCTGAAAACCAAAATAAAAGTAACTAAGTAAAGACGTGATCATAAATGTAGTACACTTAATCACATTAAACTTATATATATTTATTTAATAAAAATAGAGTGGTTTCAAAATGGATGAGATTGATTTTGGTATAATGACCTGTAACTGATTAGCACAAAGTTCTATCTAGTTCCACAAAGGTCTAATCTAGTGTGATTAATTCTTCCAAAAGAAATCTTTGTCCAATAGGAACTGTGGCCCGTACATCAGCCCTACACCAGAGGTCCCCAACCTTTTGGCACCAGGGACTGGTTCCGTGGAGAGAGGTTTTTCCGCGGACCAAAGGGTGTGTGGTTTTGTGTGCTGCCTGCATCTCGCGGATGGGGCTTGCTTGTTTGTGTGGACCAGCTGCTGACATGCCACGGCCTGGTACCAGTCTATAGACTGGGAGTTGGGGACCCCTGCCCTACACAATAGGACAAAGGTTGCTGGAAGTATGATGGTGAAGCAATGTCACCAAATAGAGTTGAAATTCTTGCCCTTCCCTTTGGAGGTTGGGACGAAAGATACTTCACACACCTATTGGAGGAATTATTTTCTTTTAAAAAGCAAAACAAATTGATGATGTGATACCAAATTATTGGTGTGCTTCAGAAGCTCTAGGGAAATGAAAGAAAAAACAAAAATGGAGCTGGGTATATTTTGTACTTTTGAAATCCTATAATTAATAAAAATCACTAACAACACTGAAGACTGCATGCTTTGAACTCTAAGATTGGGGTAAGCATTATTTTAGGAGCCGAGAATCTCATCTCTCAGTTGCGCCCGTGAACTCAAGTTTTCATGCCTCTGCATGAAAGACTTACTGTCTTTCTCCAATTATTGCTTATTTTTTTGTCACCATGCACATATACTCATATATCTTCTTTGAAAATGGTTCCCTGAAATTAGAAAGAATGAGGTGAGCATTAATGGAGACGTGGCATGTAGAAAGTTCCCTAGAGGTTTGGCTGCAAAACCTGTATGCCTGATTGACTGTGCTTGGCTTGGCTTCAGCGATCTACCTCCCCAAACAAAAAACATCTTGGATCCTTTATTGAGTATGCGCATGACATATACACTAACGCATTTATTCTGATCACAGAATCATTGTGGATTTATAAATTTATATGAAGCTTACTGGAAATTAACATTAGCAAATTATGTCGGTGTTTGCTTACTTCAACAGGGTGAGAGAAGCTGCTATGACGAGTTTGATGGAAGTAACCCTGTTGTTAACCAGGACTGAGCCAGCCTTAATTGATGCAAATGTGTATGTACTTTGCAAACATTTTATGTCAGCCTTTTATACGGTTAAGCAATCAGCCTTTTCTGGAAAGGCTTCTGCAAGAGTCACTCCTACTGATTGCCATCATTTGCTCCTATCACTACTTTAAATGAAAGACCTAAGCAGGTCCTGTCTTGCATCTGTCTGGGCTCAAGGAATACAGATTGTAACTTTTCAAAGAGGTTGAATTGGGAAGCAATGGCTGCCCAGTCACCGATTTAATCTTGGGTCTTCCTATTTCAAGTCTTACCCACTGTAACTGCTGAGAGACCCGAGATCTAAGTATCCTAATGGGTTGCTCCTCAACCTCCTTTTTTTTTTTTTTTAACAACCATTCAGGTTTTTTCCCCCCCTTTCTGGAAAGAATTTTTAGCAGAAGTCTGAAATATTGGTGTGGGAGGAGGGTTATTCAGGGCAGAGCAAAACAACTCGCAGTACATGATTTGGATTTTTCTTTTAAATGGTGTTTTAACTTTCAGTTCCGAGCGGATTATGTGCTCTGTGGCTCAACAGTCAGCTGAAAAAATTGACCGATATCGAGGTCATGCAGGATCTGTGTTCCTCACCTTCCTTTACTTTGATAACCCTCCAGTCCCACACATACCCCATCGGGAAGATTTGGAGAGGATATTTCCAAGGTAATTAGATTAGATTAGATAACCTTTATTGTCATTTTTTTTTCCTGTGGGCACACATTAAAAATGAAATTTAGTTGCTTGCTCTCAAAGTGTACACATACATAACACAAGTTTAAAACATACTATATACAACGTATGTATAGGCCTACACCCTTACATATAAGTAACATATACATATTAATCACTATCCATCTTGAATACATAACGGAAGGAGGAAGCTTTAGAGTTCACAAGGTTAATACTGTATGGAACAAAAATGTGACTGAATCTAGATGTTCTGCTTCGGTAATCAGTCCTGAATGGATAAGAAACCTTTGGCTGTACATATGAACAGAAATCTGTCAATTTAAGTTGTGGTTTATAGGCAAATGTTGGTAACCTTAGACTGGAAATCTGTTTTGAAAAGAGGAACTACCTCAAGTGGGTCTGGTTAGAAGCAGACATATTAGTATTAAAATCTTTCTCCTCTGCTCTTCAGCTGTTTCGCATCCTTCCCCAGCTCCCTCCGAGGGAGGGGTTTTAAGTACTCATTTGTAGTGTATTCACACTTCAGTAGAGCTGCCCTATCCAGAATATTTTGCAACTCAAAGCAAAATGATTTGCCTTGCATTGCAGCAAAAACCATGAATGTATTGATTTTAGTTATACCTTTAAAGAAGTGTCCTAAGATGGTGAAATAACACTGTGCTGCTTTAAAATACATTTATTCTGTTGAATAGCAAAAACAATTTCTTCATTTTGGCATTTTCAAGATTTAGATTAAAAAAAAAAAAAAGAACCATGAAAGATAGTTATGTTTGTGTGACCTATTTTCTTTTGTATTTGTTTCCATTTTTTTTTCGCAGGTCAGAAGCTGTAACTTTCAACTGGAAAGCTCCATCCCAGGCCTTCCCCAGAGTCACACAACTTTTGGGATTAGCATCCTATCGCTACCACATTCTGACAGGTCTCACTGTATCAATTGGAGGCCTAACTGAATCAACAGTAAGGGAATAAAAACTTACTTGCTTGAAACAGTTTTGTCACTTTACACACGGAAGGAATATTTTAAGAATATTACTCAAGAGTTAATATTGTTGGCTGCCAATTTCTGGAAGCGAGTGGTTGATAATTAGGAATACAGGTCTCTTAATACAAGTATGAATATGCAAGATGGGGTAATCTATTATGATTTAATATGCTTGAAGTAGTTTGTACCACTTTGCTTACAGACCTCTTTTTCATCCTGTAGTGTTGCAGACATTAGTAATAATAAGAGAAACTTTAAGCTATTTGAAAAACACACATTCACAAACATACCTTCTTCTGAAACTAGCATTCCTTTTCCTGAAAATTAAAGCCACGCTAATATGGGGCATTTACCGATTGTGAAGAAAAGGCTAGATTTCTTCTATGTTTCTCATAAAATGTATTCAGCATGGTTTCATGACTTGAATATTCTCTCTTTCTTTGACTGTATAGAAGATAACAAGTGATTGTTGGTTATTCCAGCTTCCTTTCTGATGTAATTTTTTCAACAGAGCATTGTTTAAAAGTTGTCAATTTGTTTCTCACAATTTGTTAAAATTCAGGTCACATTAAAATCAGTGGGAGCTATTTGTTAATAAGTCTCTTGTTGGTTTTAATGATACATTTATAACATGTGTTTTCCCTCCAAGCTTTATTGTGAAGCTTTGGTTTCCTGCAAGAATTTTAAAAAAAAACCCACTTTTGGAATACTTCGTAATGTGATTTTAGTTATTGGTAATAAAGCAGCACCTAACCAAATTTGGCTGATTTCAAAAACCTAAGCAGGATCTGAGCTGGCAAATGTTCAGATTGGAGGTCTCCGGGAGAAACCTGAGACCTGTAGTATAGAGTGAGGAGAATGAATGAATGAATGAATGAATGAAAGAATGAATAAAATAAAATAAAATAAAATAAATAAATAAAATCCATAAGAAGCCCTTAGTTAACCATTTCTATATTGTTATCAAGAAAAAATCCTATATGGTCACATTGCTTGCCACTAGAAGTCAAGTTTGACTGAAGCAGAATTTTGATGTACCGCTTTAGGATAGTGTCAGCATTTTAAATCTAGAAACAGCGCAGTGCTATAGTGCACAAAATTGTATCTTAACTACTGGATCAAAACATTTTGTTCCTCACAGAGACCAAAGCACCTGAATCGCACATGCTTCAGTTGGGGCATATACCACCCCAATGAGCTGTTCCTCCTATCTAATGGTTTATACATCCTTAATGAACAGCAAAGTGTACCACAGAAATTAAAATTTCTTTTCTCCTGAGCTTCACAAAGAGCATTCATTACTTGGGAGGGCACTAAATGCACGCGCAAACAGAGAGCGACCAGTTCCTGATTTTAATTTTCAGAGGGAAAGAGGTGCAGGAAGGCAAGAAGATCGACCTTGGGGGATTGGACTTCTTTAAGAGCGAGCTCAGTCTCCTCAACATTTTCTCTATACTTTCTACCTTTTTCTCCCTTTCCTGCCTCCTCCTCCTCTGAAAGGGAATGTCAAAAGCATTTCTCTCCCTCTTTCTGTCTTGCTATTCTTTTAATTTGCTTAGGTCCACAGATAGTTGAAGCAACATTCACTGAGCACGGGAATGTTTGTTTATTTATTTGATATTTATCCTCTATCTATCTATCTATCTATCTATCTATCTATCTATCTATCTATCTATCTATCTATCTATCTATCTATCTATCTATCTATCTATCTATCTATCTATCTATCTATCTATCTATCCCTCTCTTTCTCTTTCTCCCTCTCTCTTTTTCTTTCTCTCGCTCTCTCTCCTCCCTTCTCCCTTCTCCCATTTTCCCCACAACAACCCTATGAGGTGAATTGGGCTGTGCGAGTGACTGGTCCAAGGTCACCCTGCCAGTTTTTCGTGCCTAAGATGCAACTAGGACTCACAGCACACGCACTTCAGATACTCCTGCTCTTGTCCCCAGACAGGAGAGGGTAGAACTAAGAGCTCCCACTTAGAATCCATTGCTATGGAAAAGGAGGCTGGCTTGGGGGGGGCTGATGGAGTCAGCAGCCATCCCCCCCCCAGATTTTCAGAGCAGTGTGTAGGGATGGAGGTAAAATGGCTCAGGGGATGTTTTCTGACCTCTTGCCTTGGATAGTTCCTCTGTGGGACACAGAAGTGGCAAGCTCCAATTCTCTGGGGGCAGCAGTGGGAAAGGGGGTTGGAAGCCTTCTTTCTGTTGCCATCAAAAGCATGCTGGAGTTACACAATTAGGAGGAAGAAGCTAATTACACAATTAGGAGGAAGAAGCTAGTTCAGCAAAAATGCCAGTTTTGGTGGGAAACAGAATTAGTCTTCCTGTCAGAATCCCCCACTATGTATTTCTTCTGCTTACCTTTAGGTGACCTAATACATTTTAGGCGAATAAATAAACTTTCTTCTGCTGACCACCACTATATAGCCTACTAGTGTGCATGACTGTCTTTGTAATGGTGCAAAGTTGTGAGCTCAAATCTCGCTCTGTCCAATTTCAATGTATTATTTTAATAAATTCTAATTTATGTTTATTATAGTTATTGAATCCTGAGCAGTTATTCCCACAAATAGCATAGATGCGCTTAAAGAATGTGCAATATGTGAATGAAGGTAGATCTACTAACAAGTGAGCCGTTTGGTCTATTAGTTAAGACACCAGGCTGGAAACCAGGAGACTGTGAATTCTAATCCCGCTTTAGGCACAAAACCCAGCTGGGTGACTTTGGGTCAGTCATTCTCAGCCCAACCCACCTCACAGGCTTGTTGTTTTGGGGAAAATAGGAGGAAAGAAGCAGGTATATTCGCCACCTTGAGGGGTGTAAAAAAACTGGGGGAAAAAACATTGCCATGAAAAATAAAATTCTCTGGGAGCAGAGTCATGGATGCTGGTCCCAAATTGATTCAAGCAGTTCCAAACTGCTCTAGTATTCTCAGGATATACCCCCAGTTTAAGAACCACTGCTTTAGCCAACAGTCTTTTTTTTTTTTAACTTAAATCTGGGCATAAACCTTTTTTGTTTGCTTCTGAGGTACAGAATGTTTCTCTGATTAGGTTTTCTGGCCTTTGAACAAGCCTTAGTGATAGACATTTTTGGCTTTTATGTTGCTTATTGTTTAATTTAAACCTTTGAATCAGTGTTGACTCCTGGCAACTGCCTGGACTAGTTCCTGAAGCTTTCTTGGCAAGATTTTCGGAAGTGGTTTGCCATGGCCTTTTTCTTAGGACAGAGCGAGAATGGATAGCTCAAAGTCATCCAACTGGTTTTGCATCTACACTACACCAAACTGGCTCCCTCCCTCCCTCCCTCCCTCCCTCCCTCTCTCTCTCTCTCTCTCTCTCTCTCTCTCTCTCTCTCTCTCTCTCTCTCTCTCTCTCGTTTATCTACTTTTTGTTGTTTAGTTTTTTTCACTATATCTTTAGAATTAAAACTGCCTAGATTTAAGATTTCAATTCTGTAATTTTGTATACTTTAATAAATTGATCTGGTCTGTACTTAGTTTTTAACTACCTTGTAAATTCTTTTTAATAATTCTTTTGTTGCTATTTCAATCCGATCTTGAATCTCAGATATGGCATGAAGAATAACCTTATTCTTCAGGGCTCTTTTTCACCCATCTTATGCAGATTTTATAGTAATATGGACATTGGACAAGAAAGCTATTATGCTTCTACAGTACAGCGTAATGAGCATTCCATATATCTTCATAGCTCATGGATTCATTTCCAACAAGAAATTTGGAAAAAAAATTCCAGCCCACTCAATACATTTTTTTTATTTAGGTGTGGAAGTCAGATGTAATCTAATTAAAACCATTCAGCTAAGTCATTTTTCCTCTTTCCAGCAATTAGCCAAGCTCCTGGGTATGACAATCTCTTGCCAGTTCTTTTTTTTGTAGTATACTCTACCTCTTTCGGTTGCATTCTGTCTTCCTTTCTATGGTCAGCTGTTTTACCAATCTGGAAGGTGGAGGTCAAACTATTTTGCTAGCCAACAAGAATAAGCCTCAAGCAATCCAAGTTTTCTGGGCAGTTTCTTTATTCTCTAGGGTAGCTGATCCTTAAAACAGATCTGGTCTTATTGAAAGAAATACAGAATATCAGTGAACTGGAATTTCAGTCAATCAATATCACATTGATTGCTCAATGAATAGCTAGGCTGCCACTAAATATGCCTCTGTAAAGAAGCATCAAAATTATTGAAATAATTGTGTTATTATCTTTTGGAGACTGATGAAAACTTATTTCAGAAATTGTATCAGAGAGATGGGTCAGATGCATTGCTAGTTAAGAGTAGTAAGACAGGAAAAAAAACCTCAAGATATTCAAATAATTATTCAGAGAGGTGGCAATCCTATAATGTACTGTTTACATTTAAAAAAAACAGCCAATTAATTACCTCTTAACTTTTTTGAAAGGCGTTTCTTAGATCAAACTGTACTCTGTGTTTCTGTAATCCCTTTTAGAAGGACATACTCTTGGTAGAGCAAGAGTTTCCTCAATTCTAAACATACAGTTTGGAAATTGGGGGGGGGGAAGCTTCCTCAATCTGGATTTTGTTATATTTAAGAATAGGTTCTGCACTTGGGAAGCATATTTTTTCATAGAAAGATAACTTCCCATTGTGTTCAAAAAGGATGTATCCGAATGGAAAGATAGATTGCAGGACTACATGAGTTTATTGAAGGTTGGTGTTCTACTTCCCCAGAGCTCCAGATAGAAGGACAAAGTAATTTTCCCCACCTGGTCTTGACAACCTGTTTTTTTTTAAGGTGTAACTTTTCTCTCATAGCCTACAGTTACATGTTGTTAAAATTATTATAAGGGGTTTTTGGGGGGGGGGGATTCATGTTTTTGGCTAAATAAGATTCAGATTGGAGTTCCTTAATCTGCTCTTCAGATACATATTTCTTTGCTTAAGTGTATTTCCAGGCTCAGATCCAGCCATTTCTTCCTAGTTTAATTTCTCTTTAATTCACAAGGGATGCCTCTCCCTTCACTTTAGTCATCTCTTTCTCATTCTCAGGAAAAATGTGGCATTGGCAGCATGTACACAGAGCACGTAAGATATTTTGCAGGAACATTAGAATTGTGTGCCAGGAATTCTCTTGACTCTTCAGCAGAAATCTCTGGACACCTCTTCTGGAAACACGACAGTTCAGTCAGTTCTGGTGATGAATACATAGAGAGGCACTTCAGCTTTACTTCATTGCACATAATGATCTATCTAGCAATCTATCAAGAGTGGCAATATATATTTATATATATATATATATTTCTAGAATTCCTCCCTCTGCTGTTTTATAAATACCCTAAGATAATTAATGCATCTGTAAGGTTTGCATTTGTATTCTGCTTTATTCCTGCATATATTTCTATCATATATAAGATTCTAACAACTTCCCACTAAATATTAAAAGCAGTAGGATGGCTTTGTCATCACTGACCTTGGGGTGGGGAAAAAGAAGAGGCCCGGCGGATTTTTCTTTCTCTCCCTTTCTCCCTTTATTGCTTGTTTATAATTCATTGGTTCATTTGTATATGTATATGTTTGTTTGTTCAATTTTCTGGTAGTTGGATTTACCTGTTCAAAAACATTGTTTTGCACTGGATTGAAGGGCAGTCTTGTTGTCTCCTCCCTGATCTGGGGATCAAGGTAGCTCATACCCTGGAGAGTCAAATTGAGAATATGAACATTGCCTGTTCACTCTAGGAAACGTACTACCCAAAGATAAAGAGCATCCTCTCCATCGCTCAGAAGATAGAAATTCACAGCAGCTTCATCTCCAGTTCCTTTTATATAATTGGCATAGAATTTTTTTTTATTCCTTTAGTGAAATGGTAAGTTAAGTTTAAATGTTACGAGACTAGATACAAAGTGAAGGTTTAATCTTTGCAATCTAAAAAAATGCTTTCAAAGATTGATCCTCTTGTATAGGCCAGGCTTTTTAAAAAAAAAAATGGATTTTTTTTCTCATAGGTGCGATGCTCATCCCAAAGTCTGTTCAACTATCTGAAGAATATTCAGAATGACAGAGATGCAATGAGCATCTTTTGTGAGACTTTGCTGAAAGTCTTTGAGGACAACCTGCTGAATGACAGGTAATCTGTACAATCTCAGTCAATTTGGGTGGCAGGGTTGGGTAGGGTAAAGGTTAAGAATAGAAATGGAACATTGCCTTCTAAAACCCTTCCACAACCATTCCAATCCTTATATCCTTAAAAGGGCCTGAAAAATTCAGCCTCAAATCCCTAAACATTTATTGTGTTTATTGTGTAGTCCAGAAGTTGGGAGGCAGAGTTGCAGTCCTCAGTGCATCAAAACATGCCAATGTATGAAGGAACTCTTTGGCCAGGTTTCTCATGGCGATTTTGGTTTTCTTGTTCATAAAGTGTAACTCTTTCCATCTTTGACTTATGAGTTAGAGGCCACGTTATTAAAACATCTTCCAAACTGGAAAAATAGAATGGACTTTGAAAGTACTGAATTGCAACTCCTGCTCTCTTTCAACAGCAACAAGAAAGGGAAGTGTGACTCTGGAATTTTCAGTCTGAGAGAAGTCAAATATTGTGTGTCCCAATTTCTCCTGAAGACACAAGCTTGCACAGGTAGAAGAAACAGTAGGGAATGGTAGTCAGTTGACAGACAAACATCAGAGCTATTAAAACCTAAAGGGCTAACAGGATTTAAAGAACACAAGCTAATTAGACAGACTTTTTTTTTTTTTGCTTGATGGCTTTTGGAAAGTTTTTTCATAGATTCTCAAAGAACATTGTAACAGTTATATCTCAAAACAATTATCAAGATGATCACACATAAATCACTAATTTCACAGAAACTGTTATAGATAAAAAGCAAATAACTGATACAGATGTTAAAGTGATAGTGTAGTGATTAACTCCTCAACTTTAAAGCTCTTTTTTGAATTTATAGTCATCTTGTTCATTCAGGATGACAAATGAATGACAAATTTTACTCATTCTAGTAATCAATTTGTCTATCAGGGTTTAACTTTTCAAACAGATGGAATTCTTGTTTGATACAGTCTAATTTACCATCTCTGGCTGTCTCTAGGCCCTCCCTTCTTTTCCATTATAATCTTTCAACAAAAATTTAAAAGAGCAGATACTATAATAAAAAATAGAGTTTCAGTGAATATTTACTTAGATTAAAAAGAAGCTGTGATATCCAGTCAAGCTCATAATTGTTCAGAATTTCCCATACCACAAGATTTCAAACAGATTGCATGAATTACCGTGATCTATGTGGTATCCCATGTCCAACTTAACTGCATCTAATTAGAGATGTCTCCTAGACAGTAATAATGTCTCTTTGTGCCATTATCCTTCTCTGAAATCCAAATGCATTGTGTTTACAACAGTAAAACATGAATGGTGTGGGGGAGATGCCAGCAAGAGAGTTAGACAGATGTACAGGACCAATGCTCAACTTCCACATACTTGATTCTCCTTACTTGCAGATACTCTTCACTTCTATTTTCAGAACCAATTTGGAGAAGAAAATTCTGTGATTGGCCAAATTAGTTGATATTCCAATTCCCTGAATACCACGAATGTAGGAGAGTGGTATAGGGATCTCCATGTATCTTTTAGTATATTACTTCTGATATACATACATTATTTTTGATATGGTTGAGTTCTTGTATCTCAGCCCACATCCTCCACTTATCTGTTTTCTAGATGAAATGTTCCCAGTTTTTAAAATCATTCTTTATAAACTTTAATGACATCAGGAATTTGTTAGTGGATTACATATGTTTGGCATCTTGCTTGTTCACAATATGAAATGTCAAATTAACTCTTGATCATTCCAAGATTGATTGGACACAGTTTAGGTTTAATCATCTGACATTACAGGAAATATATAAAGTGTTTATTATATGTGAGTTGTGTCAATGTGAAGTGTATAAATATGGTACTCTATGCTTTCCTCATTAGAGTATCTGTTCCACTGCTAAAGATGCTGGATCAGATATTGGCCAATGGGTGCTTTGATGTGTTTATAACTGAAGAAAAGTAAGTGGAAAAATAATAAATATATCTTCTTTCTTCAAAATTTGTGGAAAATCTTCAAAGAGCAATGTTCCATTCCCCCTAATTTATAATAACAGGGAAAATTAGAGTCCAGATTATTTTTACTATATCTTAACAAAAGGACTATTTTGTTTTGAAAAGTTAATTGTTCATATTGAACAAGGCTGAATTAGGAGCCTTGTGATCCCCAAAAGATAAGGGCTATCCCTCTTTTTTGAGTAGGTGGGCACATTTCTATCCAAACTGCTGTTTTGAGTTCCTTCATCAAAGCTAAGGAGATGACCAAGAAGAGGAGAGTTTCAGCATGAATTCAGTCAAGCCACAAATCTCTTACCTTTCCATAAGAGCTCATTTGCTACTTTCACTTACCAATCTAAGTTATAAATGGAACATTTGCTAAAATCCATTTTGATAACCTCCCTTCAGAAGTTCTGGAGGGTTGAATTAACAGTATGCGAAGCATTCAAGGGACTCTTGCTTATATGAACTAGTGAGAATCTGTTGAAGAGGTAATATACAAATTTGAACAAGACTATTTAAGCCCTTACCAAAATGTCAAGACAAATTTTATATTTCTTGCCTACTGTATGATAAAAACCTAAAAGTAAAATACATAGCTTCAAAAAAATATTATATAGCAGTGGTGGCGAACCAATGGCACGCGTGTCAGAAGTGGCACTCAGAGCCCTTTCTGTGGGCACACGTGCCGTGCCCCGGAGATGGCGAGGGACTGGCCCCCACTTCCCAGACCCCACCCACCCAGTCTGTCATGACCACCATGTGGCCACACCCACCCGGCATCCCGTGATAAATAAGTGGGTTTTGGGTTGCAGTTTGGGCACTGGGTCTCTAAAAGGTTCGCCATCACTGTTATATAGCAACAATGGCTTACGGGTAGCGTGATATTCTCTAATAGAACAGGATTGATTATTTGAGGTATATTGTACATTGAAGCCAATCCCTGTTGTATTTTATCATTGCAATTTATCTGCACTCTCCCATTTAAAAAAAAAATAGTTGGTTTTTTTTTTTACATAGAAAATGATCACATGAGATGCTTAGTCTAATTGGCATCAATAGAAGTATTCCCTTTAAGCACCAACTCAGATTTTTATACATAGGTAAGTGATTAACAGCAGTAATTTTTGCACTTTTGAAGACTGGCAGCTGGAGGGCACTTCATGTCTTGCTCTTGATTTAAGGGCTACCTTGTTTTTCTTAATTGGTTTGTCATGATATGGTTAAAATGCAGCTCATTTTTTTTGAAAAGCTCAATTTTCAGAAACACATGTGCCCAATTTGCATAATATACAACTTCTGGACAGATCCCTTTTCCCTAGATGCTTCTTTCCCCCCCCGAGTACTGCCTGCACAGGAGCAGGATTTTGTTACTTCCTTTGCAGGCCGAACTGTTTGAATTTACTTACTGGTTCCTTATTACAAGTGTGAAATTAACAGATGACAGAAAGAAAGCCAAGCAGGTCTATTTTGAATGTGGAGCTTTATTCATAAGAATACATGCATTAAATCTTTTCCAGATGCTCAACTGGATCTGCCTTTATTGTCGTTGCCTTTCTAAATCTCACATCTTTCCCTATTTTGCCATTTTATGTCAATGAAGTGAATGAATCTCCACTAAATTCTATGCAACCTTCAAAAAAAATCCTGTGCAATTTTTGAACAAATTAATAAGTTTACGCAGTTTTGCTTAAACGTGGGGATTATAAGCAAACTTTCACAAGGGAATATGCAGGAAAAAAATAATTCTGTGGCATCAATTTTTGTTGGGTAAAAGCTGAACTTTTGAGAATGCGAATGCAAAAAGAAATAAAATTCAAAAAACTAATTTTAGATCAACTGAAATAATAATAATTAAAATCTATTGTAAAAGAATGCAAAAATGATTTTTTTTAAAATCCACTAATTAATGGAAGCCTTTTATGGCAATATTGATACAGTTTGTTAGTTTCTGCTAACATATAAGCATATAAGGATATATAATTTCACAACCCTCAAGATCTTTTGTTCATCTTTGAAAAACAAATAGTTAAAACTTGTTTTCTCATTTTTTTTAAGCCACCCATTTCCTATGAAGTTGCTCACTCTTTGTAAAGAAGAAAGCAAGAGATCTAAAGATATCCAGAAACTCCGTTCCAGCATTGCTGTGTAAGTTGGGAAAATATGTAAAAAAAACCTGAAGCATGGAAAATTAATGGTCTGTAGCCAGTCCCTGTAGTTTTAAAAAGAAAGGCACGTGGAAAATGAATTTTATTTAGCACTCTTATCTATGCAAAGGTTTCATTTATATGCTCTATAAAAGTGGTCTAGGCAGTGAATTTCAAGCAGCTGTGTGTATAAATTCTAGTTCAAAAGCAAATGTTGCTAACAGTGTAAAAGCAATTCTGAAAGCAATTCTAAGAAAGTTCAAATCTGACTGGTGGCAGAAAAAGTGGTGGATGATTTGTCATTTCAAAACCATGACAATTCATACCAGACAGAACTCAAACTGAGGGAGAAGAACCATCAACTCTGGTCAATTACATCACCAGCTGTTCATTATTTTTCACCATTCTCCTCACGTTGGTTTTAGTCTGGATTTGTGTCTGGGGAAGGGGACAGTTCTATTTTGTCATATAAAATCTAAAGAGTTCAAACAATAAAAAGAACTATTATTTAAAATTACTTTAATGTGTATTTATTGGATTTTTTTTGTAAATAAAACTACAGGTAACTGAATTTTAAGAAGTGAAACAGTTGTTAATTTTTGCCTGTTTTAAAAGGAAATAAAGGTTGAAAATAGAAGGAGCCAAACATTATATCACATCTTTCTTCCTCTCATCCTCCTCCCCATCAAAATTATACTAACAAGCAAACAGATATAGAAATATTTATCTTTGAGAAGAACATTCCCAAAAGTGGATATATTTGGGAGGGTAGGACATGATTTACAATGCACATTTCAACATATTTAACACAATCTAACCTTTCTTATTTTCTGAATCTAAAACACTATCACAATCAATTTGTAGTTTCCGTTACCACTTGAAACAAGTGTTTCTCCTATCTTATGGTAGCTTATGTCGTGATTTGGTATCAGGATTTTCAAGCATAGACCATTTTTGGTATCTTAATCATTTTACATCAGTTAAATAAACTATTAGACAATATATCATACTCAATAGTGGAGAATATCTGTAACTCAAGAGTTGGACTGGTAAGTTCTTGGTGCTCTCTTGAGGTTGGTTGTTTTCCCAAAGACATTTCATTACCATCCTCAGTGCAAGAGAAAGTGGGATTTGCTGGCTATTTAGATATAGTAGCTTGCCCTGTCAATCTTGATGGTGGCATGGCTTCTTCCTTTATGGTTTATTCATTAGGGCATTATTTCTTTTTCTAGTGCTACTTCCCGCTTATGTGAGGGTTGGCTGCTCTGGGCTGTTTCCTCCTTCCTTGATTTTTGCTTGTATCTTTTTTCACTGGTTTGTAGACCAGGTTTCTCTCTCTTTGTCCCTTGATGGCTGATTTGTCAGCGTGGCCACCTTCTAGGAATTCCCCAACATTTTATTTATCTTGATCTAAAATGTCGTGTTTCTCAGTTGATCATATCTTTCCAAATTTGGGAGGAAAAAAAATAGAAGAAACTTTCCACCTATCCCCACTCACTCCTGTATTATGCTTCTGTAGTCAAGGGCTAGATCAAATCAGGGATAGGAAACAGTGGATTCAACCAAATCTCAATCATAGAATTGCAGTAGTTGAGACCTTTTGCTCTGCACGTTTATCTGCTCCCAGAACAGATTTGCTATCCTTGCCAAGGGAGCTTCTGTCTTGTACCTAATCCAGACCATAATTTATCAGATTTATGACTTTGAATTACACTGCCCCATGCTTCCACTGATGAGATATGCATCTATATTGCCTCTGTGTTTCAGTGCTATAGAATAGTACCGATGTTCTTAGTACAGTCATTTCAATACTTGGCTGGATTTTTTTCTGGTACTGATATACTTGCTTTAGCAAGAACTTTTCTAATCTTTATTTCTTCCATATCACAAAACTACTCAACAAAAAAAAAGAACTGCTTTCTTTTTTTGTAACTATTAATTTGATTTTTTAATTACATGGTAATTAATTTTTTTTATATTCCATATTGTTTATCTGAATTCAACGTGAGATTCCCTCTTACCATTTGCATTAAGAGATTAAAGAGGATGCAAAGTTTATAAAAAGCTTCTTTTGGAACATTATCTGTCACTCAGTTTTGATACTTTCAATTTTGTGATTTAAAAAGATAGATTCTTCCCATTTTTAATTTTTAAACTTTTGTAATTAGCACATCATATTTAGGGTTTTTTTTAAAAAAAAAAACCTTAGTTGAGTTTTTATAAAGAAAAGATTGTGATAGTGGTACAATACAGCAAAGTGTTTTCTACGTGTGATGTGCTTTATTAGATCAGTAATAAAATATATTGTATATTTATTGTTCTAGGTTTTGTGGCTTGGTTCAATTTCCAGGTGACATGAGAAAAAAAGTTCTATTTCAGCTGTTCCTCCTTCTTTGCCATCCATTTCCTGTTGTAAGTACTTTAGAAGTGGTTGAGATTTTTGAATTATATATATTGATGAATGTGTGTGTTTTTCCCCTTGAAAACATACCTAAGGCAATTATTAGGTTACGTCTGCCCTAGTTGGCTCCATACTGCATATGTAGAGCATGGTGTGAGATGCTGATAGCAAGGAATACATTAAACTCATTCTCTAATGTATGGCTTTTATGAACAGCAACAACAACAACAAAAGGTCTGGCTGTTATGAACTACCCCCCCCCCCAAAAAAAACCCCACCCAAGTAAGAACTGAAGCATCTCACCGAAGGCATCTCTTGGTTATCCCATAGTGGATAACCAAGTGCTACATAAAGCTGTCCCAATTGTATTTTTCAATAATTGATATTTAGGGCATTGCCTTTAATGCTGGAGGTAGCCATATGATTAGAAGCTGTGGATAACATTATCTTTCATTTACCTGTATAATAACTTTAATAGCTGCCCAAAATGAAGAGTAATTTTTGTGTTTTTGAGAAGTAGACTCCCCCTCTCATTAAAATAGACAGTGGGAAAGGGATTAAGGGGCAAATTCCTTAAAAGCTCTTGGCTAATAAAAGGAATTGACTCACCTTAGGCCTTTGGCTTAATGTGTTCTTTTCTTGATTTAGCCTTTAAATACTGTTCTCTCTTTTACCCATTCTTTCATTCCCCAAATGTAACCACCTTCGTTTGATCCATTTCTGTTTTTGCTCTCTAGATAAGAAAAACAGCTGCTAGTCAGGTTTATGAGATGCTGATAACCTACAGTGATATTGCCGAACCTGATGTTTTAGAAAATGTCATGACAATTCTGAGTGACACTAATTGGTGAGTTAATCTTAAATGTACTTGTAAGTTTCGGCTATCTTCCAGCTTATAGCATTTAAGAATATACTGGACATATAGTATGCATTGGGGATTTGCAAAGTTTTGTGTAAATCAAAACTGACACAAACATCAAACAATGAATTGATATAGGATTTGTTTCTAAACCTCACTTTGAAATTTAGCTGATACCAGAAGCAGCTTACAGCTTACTGAACAATAGTATAGTATATAATTCAGTACAAAACTCTTTTACTTATTTATTAATTACATGTATTTATTTGTTTGTTATAGTAGGCGGCTGAGTTTAACATTTACAATAGCTGATTCTTCCTATGTTTCCTTGGCATTTCTTTTACTGTTGATATGTAGGGTCATGTATCTAGCTCAGGGCGCATAGTCTCTCTTCAGGAAATAAAAATGCTACATGTCTCAAAGACTAATAAATTTCATTTCATAAGACACTCTTATAGATGAAGCCATAACTGTTTAATGTAGAGTTTTTCCTCACAGAGGCCAAATGGAATGTAAGTCATGGAAATGTTGAGGGCAGGTGAGGTTAACGTCTCTTTTCCTGGATTTGGGAGTGGGAGGGCAGAAAGCAGATTTTTAAAGTTTTGGGATGACACCTCTTCCTGGCTTTCATAGCTGGGCATGAGTAATTATCAGTGTGAGTATTTCCAAAAGACCGCTTCTATGTATAGAATTGCCAGGAGCTGGATCCATATATAAGGCGGGTGAAAGATTATTTTAAAATACTGCTTTTTTGTATCTTTTATCACCCAGTTTAGTTCCAGAATCTTTCCTGCCATCTTACTGGCTCAGAAATTGGGATGTGAACTCAGGATTCCAGACAAAACCTAAAGAGCCTTTAATCCTTCAGAAGCTCCCCATATAATTTTTAAAAATGAGTTAAATTCTTTGGCCTTCTCCCAACCTATTGCATCATTAAAAGAGGCAGCCAGATTATATCCTCTGACTAGAAAATAACAGAATTGTCATATCCAACGAAACAGAATTCACATCATTTCCCTGGCTGTTAGAATGAAAGTACTGCTTCAAGTGGATATAAATCTGATGAAGATTAAGATCAGAGATCCAAATGAGTGATGAAGGCAACAGGAGAGACATAAAAAGAAACATAAGTTCTGCTGCTTTTTATTCCACAGCTATTCTTGCCTGTGGAATAGAACATAGGTGTCAGGATATAAGGACATGGATCAGATCAGTTTGTAAAAAGTAAGCCAACAAGGGGTTTAATCTACATTTATCTCCATTTTTAGCTATAGCTATTCTTCAACTCCTCTGGGTACTTTTGTAACCTGGTGCCAGTGCAAGAAGAAAGGTCTTTTATTCCATTGTGGCAGTAAAAAGAGCAAAATTATTCGTGTCTGAATGTTTTGGAATGGAATCTCTCTCCTTTCACCTCCTGCACCCATTCGTGTCTGTTCTTTGTATGCACATTTTTCACTTATTCCTGTTTATTCTCTTATAATTTGGAGCAGAACTTGCAAACTTGCTCTTCTTATGGGATGGAACTAATCGATTCTGCCTACATGTTCTAGAAAGTGGTATTGCCCTCAATACAGTCAATGCTATTCAGGTGGTTCAGAGAACAGAAATTCGTGTTTGTTTTTTTTAAAAAAAATCCTCTTCCTTTCCCCTGCAATTGGGATGGATATACCAATTTTCGTACTGTCAATAGCAATCAGAATTAATTGACAGATGAATAGTGCTGCACTGAGGAAAATGGATGTGATGCTAGAAATCATGGAGAGCAGCACGGAATTGGTTGCTTATATATACTTTTTTTTCTTCTCCAAACAGGGATGCAGACTTGCCATTTCTGAGGAAGCAGCGGAATTACCTCTGTGACTTAATGAACGTGCCCAAGCCCCAATTGGTAGTGAAGGTAATGTTTTAAAATACCAATTAAGCCCTGATAAATATTTCTGGGAAACAATTTGGTAAAACTCAAGTTTGCTGACACGCATGCATATGCAGAAATATAGAAAACAAGTATTTTATCACTCTCCCCTATTCTATTATTTGAAAAGTTTTCACAATTCTCCTCTTGAGCTATTAGTCAGTGAGCATGATTTGAAGTAGGACAGCTGGTTACAAAAATATGCTTACTGCAGTGCAGCAATCAGAATGTCAGTCAGTTTTACAGAATATCTTGATACAGGTAGTCCTTAACTTAAAACTTAAAATTCATTTAGTGACTGTTTCAAGTGACAATAGCACTGAAAAAAAGTGACCTATGACTGTTTTTCACATTTACGACCGAATGTCTGTGGAGATTCTCACTCATCCAGGTCATGGTTTCCCAAGGGTGCTTTTCAAAAGGCAACTGGACATTCTTGTTTTTTTTTCATTGAAAACGTTTCATTTCTCATCTAACAAACTTCTTCAGTTCTGAACTGAAATGAAAAAGCTTCGCGGATGAGAAGCAAAATGTTTTCGAGGGAAAAAAATCAAGGGAGTCCAGTTGCCTTTTGAAAAGCACCTTTGGCACACTTACCACCATTGCAGCATCCCTGTGGTCACATGATCAAAATTTGGACGCTTGACAACTGGCGTGTGTTTATGACAGTTGCAGTGTCCCGAGGCCATGTCATCACCTTTTGCGACCTTCTGACAAGCAAAGTTAACGAGGAAGCCAAATTCACTTAACAATGGTGTTACTAACTTAACAACTGCAACGATTCGCTTGACAATTGTGGCAAGAAAGGTTGTAAAACGGGGCAAAACTCAACTGGTTTTTTTTTCCTGTTCTGTTGCTTAGCAACAGAAATTTTGGGCTCAATTATGGTCATAAGTCGAGGACTGCCTATGCCTGTTAAAGATACCATAAACTCTATTTCTAATACATACAGTGTATGCATAGCTATAGCTTTGAAATAAGCAACCTTATGCAAAGTGCAAAAAAAGAGTAAGAAACAGTAAGCCAAAAATAAGGCATAAGAAAAGAAAGAGAAATATAATTAAATGATACTAATACACTAATCCCATTTATTATATCTCTCCATATATTTCTGTCCTTGGAAACCAACTTCTACCATGTGGAAATTTTGTCCTTTAAAGGCCTTAAGTATGCCGAAGTAATTCTGTACTGGTGGGATGCTGGCAACAATGCAGTGGTTTCAAGGTGGTCTGACTAAAGATCCTGGCTTGTATAGAAGCATGTTAATATGCTTGGAGTAAAATTAATCTTTGTTTATGCTTTAACATAATGACCCAAATGTGCTAAAATGTATCAGTATTATCCCAACGGTTAGCAGGGAATGCTGCATGTGGTAGGAATATGACTAAGGTTGCTGTACCTGCCTAATCTACACCTTCTCTGTGTTATGAAAAAGCATATGAAACTATTCAGGCAATTACTGAAAATCCTTTTAAAAGTCAAACAGGTTTTGTGTTGAACTAGAGAATGAAGCTATTCCATAAATGTATTCTCCTGCTTCTTGATTTGTATTTGTGTGTTCACATCTGTATTAGTTTAGAGAAATATCCGCATGTGCTTTTTTTAGAAATCATCTTGTTAAAGGAAGATATTGTTAATGTTTTGACTTTGAATAAGCACAGGGATCTATATTCGTGCAGAGGTATGAATAGAAGCATGTAGTAGTAAGTCAGTAGCTAACCTGGGCTCTGAGGTAGAACTGGAAATGATAGTTTCAGGTATTATTCTGTTTGGTGGCTTGTGAATATGGTAGCTTGCCTGTCTTTTTCATTCCATGCTAAATGACAGTATAGTAGTAATGCAAATAAACCTTGTAGATGAGGTTTACTGGAACATAAATATTTAGTCCTGAAACTGTACTGTATGTCTTTGGAATCAAAAGATCTTTTGGAAATCTTTTGTGGCTTTCCGGTCTAAGAGTGACAGGTACATCTGTATGCCTTTATGCTCTAGCTGGAGATTTCATTCTCCACAAGTTGGACGGATTTTCACAGCAGTTTGATTTCCCATTACTGCAGAAGAGATATTTGAAAATATGCAACACTATCCAGCTTGGAAGGCTTAAATTTCACAAGGGCATGTGGCTCCTTGTAGAAAAAAAGAAGAGAAAGCATTGGAAATAGATTTTTTTTTCACCTTTTGGAATGTATAGCTGCATCCAGAAAATAAATATGCACTCATGAATGCCATTTCTTATTCAGTAACAATGGAGAAAAGTGTCAGAATGATTGGTTTAACTATTGAGCCATTTGAAAACAAGCCCTTCATTAAATGAATTTCTGAATATACCAACTGCTGTTGGATACACTGCATCCATTAACACAAATATAAACACGGTGCACTACTCGGTAATGAAAGTCAATATAGGAGGTTGTTCTAAACTATGGATTGGACAATGCCTGAAGGAAACTTTAGTTGTAGATCAACATTTTGAAGCTGTGACTAACAGATTAATTACAATATTCTGTGAATCTTCCAGGCAAGAGTTACTTTTTGTTATTTTTAAAGTGTACTCTTGACAATGTCATGAAATTAATCCCATTTCCCCTTCTTTCCTGCAGAGCTCATAATTGGAAATCAATTAATATTGAAAATTACAGTGAATCCGTAGACACAAAGGAGCAAGCAACTTCAACAACTTGGATAACAGCATTTACTGATCAAGTTAAAAAGAAAAGGCTAAAAAATGAGAACCTAGTTTTGAAAGTTATACTTCTTTTTAACTCCTTTTTCTAAAAGAATATCTTTTGGTTTCAAAAGTTAATATATATGTTGGTGGTTTTGTGTTTCTTTCTGAAAATTAAATTAAATTGTGTTGAAAAGTTCAAATAACTGCAGTTTCTATTCTCTCTGTTGTTTGACTTTATTAAGTTACAACATTCCAAATTTTACTATAATCAAAGTTACCTTGTCAAATAAGTTATGCATTATATAAATAGTCCCGATCTACCATTTCAAAACCTATCTGCAGAAGAGTAGCAGCTTCACTCTTTAGAAAAGACATTTGAGAATAAATTATCCAGTTGACATATCAATCAAATGGTATAATGAAGTCTGTGGGCATTCCTGCCATTTGAGAAGAGCACAAAATGGATAGGATTTCAACCCTGATACATTGATTCCAGCTGAAAAACTGTCACCTTTCTAAACAGAAGTATAATTTATCACTCAAACTTGATACAATATCCTGACTTTTTCAATGTTGACAATGTTTTTTTAAAATGCATTGAAATATTTCTGCTGGTTAAAAAAAATGCACAAGAAAATACTAGCTGAAATAATGCAAGCAACATTGGTTGGCAAAATTAAAATTGCATTTGAAAAGCTTGACAAGTTTTTGTTTTGTCTTAACAATGAGTGGAAAATCAGAAACAAATAGGAACATGTAGCATGTGGGATTTGATTCTCAAAATGTAGTTTACAGGATGAATGTAAAAACTGTGCATAACTTTTTAAAACAGTTGTGCCCTTAGAATCACTTAGCAATGGAAGAGGGCAGCAGTCCCAGGAAAGAGTTGGCTACTTTAAAGGTTAAAGATAAAATCTTTATGCTCTCACATATTTTTTTAATTATTTCCCAAACGATGCATAGCCCTAGTAAAAACAGCATTCTGTTAAAGTTGTTGACGTAAGTATTTTCCCCTTTTCAAATGTGTCTGTACGAAAAATAAATTTGTGTAAAAGACAACGTGATTTTTTTTTTCTTCTGTAGGAATTTATTTTTACTTAAAACAAGCATTTAATGTTTTTTGGATGTTCATAACAATAAACATCTGATGGAGAGGAAGCATAAATAAAAGTTAATTCATGTTACCACAGCTGGTCTCAGCTCTTTGGAAGAGTATCTTAAGTGACTGGTTAATTTCCTGACCATCATGGAGACTGGTTTCAAACCTCTTGATATAAACTATATTCTAAAAGTAAACCTTGTTTATATCATGCTGATCTTTTAGACCTGCCTGGGGATATTATAACATGGAACTTTTTAATCTCTTCGTATGAATTACTTTTTAATCTCTTCGTATGAATTACTGGCATCACAGAGCATTATTCCTGGCAGTGAAGATTGTTAAATTACCATATGAAATGTATAGGCCTTCATTTTGCTCTGAAAAATGCTGCGAACAGACATACTGTAGATGTTTCCAACATAGAAAGCATTGACTGGGGCTAATGTTGAAACCATTCTTTCATACTGTCCATGCCTCGAGGTACAGGGAGAGGGAATTGCAGCTGGATCTGATGCTATGAAAAGGGGAGCCATCTCTTTTTCCCATCAAAGCCAAGGAAGTTCTAGATCAGGTGTTGCACACTAAAAAGGTCTGGTTTTTGAAGGCAGGCCTGTGCCATTTAGCAGCAGGGAGGGGAGGGGGAAAACTTTTGAAAGCAATAATGGCAGCTGTTGGGCCAGTGGAAGACTGTACGGTAATGGGAAGACCTATGTTCCCCCTCATTTCTCTTTAAGATGTCCCCCACCTTTCTCAGCAAGCTGGCCCTTTTAAAAAAAAGGGAATAACACAATGTCAATGTTAGACATTTCCCAAAGGGACACTAGTTGAACAAGGTAAATTCAGTGGAGCCCAGGAGGGAAGGCATATTGGGGTGGAGGCAGGACACTGAAGCAATTTAGGGTGGGCAAATACAAGGAGCTGAGGCCTGCGCCTTTAGGAGGTTGTGACCATGAAGTAGAACTAGAAAGCAGATCAGAATTTCAGCCACAGGCAGGATACTACAGCTTTCCAGTCGTGGCTATCTCAGCCTTTGTGACTGTGGGAGAGAGATTGGGACGGTTAAGTACAGCCCTGGAATTTCAAAAAGCCACAGTTGCAAAAAGGTATGCACACAGTACAAATAGAGAATTGGATATGAAGTAGAAGACAAAATTTGAAAACAAAATAGTAATATAATTTCTAGAAAAGAAGAGATGAAATTGCTTGATCTGTAAAGGCTTTATAAAAATAATAATCCGATCATAACAGAATTTTGGTGCCATCTCATAAACCATACTCATTACACAAGGGGTTGGATATTATCAAGACATGATGTTAGGTAATGGAAAAACAGATTCTGGATATATTTGAAGAGGAACATCTTTTTTGCAGGTGTATTTAGCATCATGCACACTTACAGCTTTTAAGTTTAATTTGAAAATTACTGTTCTACTATATTGTAACTAAAATTCTTCTGCAGCATTTTGAGAAGTTCTGTGGGTTGCCAAAATAAGATGGCTGACTATTCCAGTCACCAATAAGTAAAAGAGAAAACAATTCAAATAGGTACCATTAATTAAATTTGTCTCAATGTTGAATTGCTTCTTATAATTATGTGTAGCTCTTCCATCATTTTCACCTTAATGTATATGTGGAAACCTGATGTTCTTCCCAGTACCTAAAGGTGTGTCTTCCATTTCTCATCAAGTGGCATTGAAACTTGTCAAAATATTACAGCCATATCAAAATGAATTTCTTGGGAATAATACTGAGAAGATTTGCCATTGCCACCTTCTGAATTTGATTCTGGAAAGAATTTTCTTAGGCAAATTGGCTATGATCATACAGGCAGAGCCCTATCTGCCACCTCCCTGCTGTGGAGATGACTCTTAACTAGCTAACGTTCAATTCACTTAGCTTGATGTTGTATTACCTCTAGTTGACTTTTATGATTTCAGATAATATTTTAACATTTGCATGTACTTATATTTTAACATTTGCATGTACTTATATTTCTTTTGAGAAAAGAATTGTGGAGAAAAAGAATCTTGACTAAAATAATATTGTAACTCCTCTAGTATGTTTCATGGTGAAAAGCTTGCCAATAAACCATGTTCATCAATTAAAATGATAGTAATCCACACCTTCCTTCAAATTCAATAAGCTCAAATTTTCCTCAAACTGTCCATCTGTGAGATCCTGCAGAAATGAAAATAAAGATCACAATCAAAATGTTTCATCAAGATACATCATATATCTGAGGACTTCTGCAATCACAGTACCTATTAGCAACACAGAAATAAGCCAGGTTTAGACTTTGTAACTGAATAAAAAGTTATTCTACAGTAGAAATTCCTAAATATCATAATATAGTGTTTTATTTATGCAGCTGCAGCGAACGAGGGAATATTTGCTCGCTTATCTTTCTCTAATTCTTTCTCAGTCCAGTTTTTTGGTTTTTTTGCCTGTTGTACTGTACTACATAGATAATTGGGTTGGTTAAAACCTAAAGGCTGCATTTTACTAGCTTCACTAGTTTTGACCTTGATTAGGATTTGTTTTGGTATCTTAGAATGATATGCAAATCCAACCTTGGACACCAGAGATCCCCTCTTTCCCTTTTTACCTAAGAACTACTAATGGGTAAATATGTATTTCTAACAATCAATTCTAGAGATAATGATTTATTCATACATTACATATAATAGTGGAAGCTGACTGTGGCCTTACCCCTTACCATATAGGTTCCTATTCAGCTCATTCATGTGCATGTACTGTAAGTAGTTGCTCATAAGTAAAGTCTATTTTCTATGACATTTTTTACATTCAACCCTAGAAATCAGGTTAGCGCTAGTGCCAAAGTATCATTGTGGAGTCAACACAGGAACACAGATCAACTTTGTTGCTACCGGTAATTCTGATTACCTTATCATAGACAAAAGGAACTCTAGAAGTTGCAGGTTTCTTATTTCTCTTGCCCCTAATATAGGATATTAATGCCAGAGCAAAAGTAATTTTATCTTTGTTCTGTGATTAGGTTCTCTTTGACAGTAGTGAAAAGTTAACAAGTTGTTTTTTTTTTGGGGGGGGGGTGTTATTTTATTTATTATTTGTTTTGCAAACTTAGACTCATTGTGCAAGCATGATCAAAAACAGGTGAGAACTTAGAATCTCCTGTGGTCTATATTCTTCTTTCCGTTTTCCTGGATGACTCGGGATGCTCCCATTTGTGCAGAACAGTCAACTAGCATTGCTAATGCTTTTAGCTTCTGCCAGCCCTTAGGGAACACATAGTACATTCAAGGAGCATCATAATTTGAACAATAAAGAAAGCAACAGGTAGACTGAAGATTATAAGGCCCTTAATTTTTTAGCAAAGAAGAGCTTTACAGAAAACCTGATGGCCATGACAGTGATTAATTGCAGTCAAATGCCTCAAATAGCTGTAACAGCCTGGCTCAGACAGGCTGTCAGGACCCCATTTGTTACCTGCTGCTGTAGGAGATACACTTGCCACCCCTCCTCTGATGTAAGACAACTGTTAAATCTTAGTCTAAACACAGGAGAATTCAGCCTTCAGATTGCATCTTCCAAGGAGGCCTGTTGTTTTTTCCAGAGAATTCTTTTTCTATTAAAAGTTAGATAACATGTACATCCACTCTGGCATATGTATACAAAGACCACTCACCAAACTGCTACCCATGGTCAGATAGGAGCCACTAGATATTTTAGGATTCAGAGATAAATGGCTCATAGAGGGAAATGCCAAGAAGGGTTTTATTGAATCAATATGAAGAGAGTTTTAGAGAAATAAAAATATACCAATCTACATCCCTTCACCTTGCTATGAACCCCAAAAATAACATATGGGCTTCTGAACTCTCTTAGGATTTTGGGTCTCTACAGAAAGCCAAACTGTCTGGAGGCTTTTGCCAATTTTTTATACTTAAGAGTTAGGGAATATAAATAATCACACCTGAACGGAGTTTGGTACATTACCTTATGACATGGCCATAACTTCAGAAAGGGGACCCTCTGCCAAAGATACTTTTAGCAAAGAAAGAGCTCCTAGCAGAGAGCAGCTGGAGAAAATCTAATGGCATCTGTGGTCAATAACCAGGCAGCTCAATTAACTGAGTCTGTCAAAAACAAAGCACTGTGCCGATAGAAGCAAATATTTGTATTTCAGGGTTGAAAAAGAAGGGTCCTCGGTGCTTTCTGAGCTTGATTGTTTTCTTGCAGATGTTTCATTACCCAAATAGGTAACATCATCAGTTGGGCAGTGAAACATCTGCAAGAAAACAACCAAGTACTAGCACCGAGAAAACCACAAGACATTCTTTCTGATGCTCTTTGGTCAGTAACTGGGAAACCAAGTAAGCAATCCTTTGGTTAGAATATTTTTGGGAAATGCTGTTCTAGTATGCAGCCACGGCTCCCCCTCCCCTTAGCAAATGTTAGATAGGGAACTTATGCTGCTCTTTATCTTGTTACTAGTAGGAGCACAAAGAAAATAAGCAAGGGTGACACAATGATGCAATCTTCAAAGCTTACTAAACTCTTTCCACTCAGATATTTCTTATATGGGCACAAGAGAAAAGAGGTCCACTCCCACTATCTTCTTATTATAATCTTCTATGACTTCATTCCAATACTCAATTCAATACACTTGAAAGAAGCTGTGCTTGACAGGGTAGCATGGAGAGCTCTTGCCTCTGAAGTTGCCAAGAGTCGGACATGACTGAACGGTTAAAAGAACAATTAAAGCATTCAGGGGACAGCCTTTAGAAATTGTCAGCTGAAGTTTAAAATAAAACAAAGCATAGACTGTACTAACTCAAAACTGATCAGACTTGAGAGTTGTTTTTTTTTTAACGTATTAGCAACCTTAATATTTGGGAGCATTTACAAAACAATTCCCTTACTTTCTCACAGCTAAACATGGCCTTGGCTCTTCATCCTCACTAAGAAACAAATGTTTATTAAAGGGGGGGGATGTTCAAGGGGAGAAGGTGCTAATAGCTTCAAAGGAGAGCCTACTGACCACTTAAGTGTCTTCTGATTTCCTTCCAACCCACTCAGTATAAGACTGACTTATACAGCGAAGCCTGAGACTTCGATTCAGGAGGGTGTTTGGTTGGACACAGACTTTGTTTAGAGAAATGGTCTAGTAAGTAGGGCAGGGAAGAATGAACCATCAGAACAGAATTTATGTGTGGGAAATAAAAGGAATAGATGGAGAATTTGACCCTGGAAATGAAGCACGTAGGTGGCAAGCTAAAACCCTTAACTCACTCTATGTATTACCAACCACTAGTAACAGCCAACTGATATTTTGCTATTTAGCAATATATGAGAAATGCTGACCTCCTTGAAGAAAAGCCCTGTTATAACACTTTGTTTTTAATCACAGGAACTGCACTTTTTTTCAAGCAGCTTAGCCAGCATAATAGCAGTGACAGCTTAACATATTAGTCTGATGGATTTTGCATAATGAATGGCTTCTTCATTGAAAGAAACCTTTCAACAAGCAGTTGGACTATTAACTCTGGTTAAAGGTGATCCTCCAGTTTACTGTATGAAGAGGAACCTTGTGTCTACTTGCCTCTCTTTTGCCATATAAGGTTATGATAACATATCTCTCACATCTATACTTCATCAGCAAGTAAATCAGGTGACATCATTCTCAACTTCAGCATTTATTTTGAGCTTTTAATTTCAGAGCACAAGTAATTCATGTTTGCAGCAGCATTAGTCTCAAAGCATACATCATTCAGATTAGTGAGAACAAAGACCCTATTGCTTTTGTGTAATGAACAACAAAGCAAACGTAACATTTAGTATTTATGCAGGTTTTTCCAAATATTCAAGACACATCATCTGTACCCTCTCCGTAATCTCCTAGCACTCCCCATGGAAAGCCGTTATTATTCTATTAGAGATGGTGAGCTAAAGCTAAGAGAGAAATCATAATTGCACTAAAGCTTGAATCAGGGATTTCTCATTCTTGCTAGCAAAGCTTGTAA